GGATCAATGTAAAGGCCTGGGACTTAGAGGAAAGAAATCCCTTACCAGACTAATCAGGATCTTAATAAAGGAAAGTCAAGGACCATGGTTTTCTGAGGAATAACAAACAACCGTTAGAGATTGACATCTCTTTACTATAAAAATATAGCACAAAACTCTGACACCACTCAACAAACATCAAAAAGCAATTAAGGCAGTCAACAGTTAATGGAGTCAAACAATTAATGGAAGCAAACAATTAAAGGGAGCAAACAATTAATGGGAGTCAGCAATTAATAGAATCAAACAATTAATGGGAGTCAACAACTGATAGAATCAAACAATGAACAGATATTTCCTACGGCAGTGGCCCTGGGGGAAGGTTCTGGAACACGGTGATGCACACTCAGGGTAGGGAAGCGCCCATTCAACTCCACACTCGAGCGACGTCTTGAAATGACAGGAGAACACCGGGACACATACAGAATGAGATGAACTGGCAGTCGTGGTATGCGGTAGTGGTAGATGACCAGAGAGTTGACAGTTGATAGGTGAAGGTCTGGGAACACAGCCCACAAGTCCAGGACCTATGATGAGATCACAGCCAGAATTTGACGGACAGCCGGGTACCTAGATAGTGACTGTATGGCGGCTGGGTTGAATCTGCCGGTGACCCAGATAGATGCTGCCGTTCTCACCTCTGTCCAACCGCCCCAAGTGTCGTCTGCACCAGCAAACGAGCGAGTTAGCAGCGGTAACCAGCAGGAAGATCGTTTCCTCCCTTACAATCAACTGCCTAAGAAACCCTTCCTATTTCATGTATTCATAGTGAACTGCAAGTGGATGCTCCCCCCCCCCACCCCCAAACCTCCACCACCACCCCTGCGACTGTAGAGTGAACATTCGCCGATAATCATCATCATCATCAAGATTTAGTTTAACCAGACCACTGACACCCATTTGAGTCTCTCCTAGGGCTGGCCAGAGGGATTAGTTAACATATATTTGTGTTTCTATAATTTAGTGTTATATTGTTTGGAGGAGATTACAGTATTTCAAAAAGGTCAAAACTGAACTTAGGGAAAATTTTGGGGTCTCTGCTAAAATATCTTACATTGTAGGGTTGTGAAGCACATTGTTCGATACAGATTATAAATAGGGCATTCAATGAGAATATGTTGGACTGTTATTTGTGTTCGGCAGTTGGAGCATATAGGTGGGGCTCCATTAGGGGAAGACATGAGTTGGCCATGCGTCAATCGCGTATGCCCAATTCTTAGACGATTCAGAATAGTTTCGTGATGTCGAGAGGATTGTTTTGATGATGACCAAGGATAAACTGATAATTTGATCATTTTTAGCTTATGACTTGTTGGTTCATTTTCCCAGGACTTTTGCCAATCGTCAAATATTAATTGTTTATAGGTAGTTAGCCTCGCCGATAATCAAAATATATGGTTTTCCACTGCTTTACATATTTCTTTGGCAATTTTCAGCTATGACATACTTATCTCCTATAAATAATTCATTTATTTTTTTTTTTACAAAGAATATTCACTGGTTCCAGAATGTATCTAAACTTACGCCAGTGATGGTCAAGTCTGGTCTTAAATAAGTTCATACTCGGTGCTATCACAACACTACCGGTAACTCTAAATACAAGGGGGAGGAGCCATGTCGTCGGTTCTGTGAGTGTTCATTACAGTTGTCCAATTCGTCCCCATCGGTAAAATAGGGGGAAGGGGGTTGGGGAATGCAGGGGAAGGTAATGTGATGGGATGGAATGTTCGATTGACGTTAGTCTTGGGGGAGGGATGAAGGGAGGAGGTGGGGGAGGGAGGAGGGGGGATGGTGGAGGGGGAGTGTGTTTAGGTGTGGTAACCCACGATGCTCAAATTATGAGGTTTAATAGTAGGGTGGGTAGAGGCAGGGGGGGAGGCTAGGCGCGGAGTTGAAACTCGTGAACGTATGATGTTGTTTAATATAAGTCATGGAACATTACAGTATCTTCAAACGGGTTTTCACGCTATTAATAGGCCTTATGTAATCCACCAATAAGGATTACAACAGCACACAGTATGGCTGCAATTGGTAAGAAAAATAAAATATAACATGGCAAAATTTTTGCCCTGCGTAATTTTTACAACCCACCTCACGCCTAAAGTAAACCGAATAATGCTTATGTGTATAGAAGATTTTCAACTCAATATCACATATTCTTTCACCTCTACAAATATCTGCTGTCACTCATGGGACACCCTGCAATAGTATAAGGACAACATGGGCTATGGTGACAAATTAATGTGACTTACCTGTTGGTGACGACGATGGTAGGAATGAGACCTCGGCATGTTTCAGTGTTCGACATCACCTCCTTCCCCTGGTGTGGGTGGCGCCAACCTTGGTAACAACTTGTGTATTCTCCGTGACTACCAGTAATGGTAGTCACGGAGAATTAATTACTGGTGTGCCCATCAGTCTCACCGTCGTAGCCATGAACGGCAGAGATATGGTCATTGTAGTGCTTTTATTTACCCGTTGCACATCTCTCACCATGTTTAATAATATTAACTATCTTCATGACATTCTTATTGTTATCAGTGATTGCGGAATTCACGATGTTATGCTCCACCTACACACAGCCTGTTACTAGACTAACCCCCACCTCCTCTATCCCCCCTCCCCCCCCACACACACTACAGTGGACGACATCTGTTGGCCGACCATAGCATTTCCCCCAGCTGTTTCGAAACTTCAGACTCAAGGCTATTCGAATCCTCACTGTGGTTGGGTAGTAGACACGACTTTGCGCAATATAGTACGTATGTATGTGAGCTCTAACAAAGAGAAATTTGACAACTGGGTTACACTCACGACGCTGTCGCTACAGCGTCTCTTCGAACCACAGGATCAACACACAACGTCCGGAAAAACCTTTTAGCTTTATTACTGTAATACAACTACTACCAACCTCACTATGGCTGGGTAGTGGACACGACTTTGGTGCATGATAGTACTTGCTGGTCCACGAACCCTGAAATTCAGATTTTGAATCCGAAGCACCTGTGGACAGACTAATGCATCAGTGTCTACTACAGTACTTTTGGTTCACGAGTCTGAATGTTGGCGACGGGACTTTTGTTTGTGACTGAATATGGTATGAACTTTTGCACCAAATTATACTATCGGCTTAAATAACCAACAATATAAATGTAAATGTGTTTTCTGAAATGCCTTTTCAGGGGAGGTAAAGTTCTCCAGAAGTTCCTCCATCTAACTACCTTATGTTATACATCATTTTCATCTGTACAATTTGGTGTATAACATTCTTAGTTATAGGGACATCCACATCTGGATGCTAAGAGGTATAATATACAGTACAGGTATAACAAAAAGCTGCTAAATACCAACATAAACATCAGCAGTTATATTTTTTAGGGAGATTATTTTGAAAACTTTCTTTCGATAGCACTATTTGACATATGCCAATACTGTATATTGTTTATAGATAAATCGGTTTCGCAAGCACATTTCTCAGATCAAAATCTACAGCTCAAACTCATCAGTAGTGGTCATTGAGTAGTTGTTTGTTTTTAATGCAGAATTATTTTTCTGAGCATTTCCCACCACTGTTCTCTTCAGAATTCTCTGAGGAAGGCTATGGAAGATGAGGTTAGTGTTTGTTGTATCCCTTAAAATACTTTGCAAAGTACCCCTGGATTATCATTTGTTGTTCTATTGTAATGGCTTGATTTAAATATCTCTGACATGTACTAGTCATTAAAACGTCTCTGGATAATAATCATTTATATTATTTAAAAAAAACAATGACACATGATGGAACAGTGAATCCTACAATAATATTACTGTATTTCACAGCAACTCTGACAGTATCACAGGAACATTAAGAACACACTCAATATTTTTTACAGTCAAAATGCTCACTGACAACCTTCCAACTCCTGGTACAAAAGGGTTACAAAAAGAGAACACAAGTACTGGCCTTATGTGATGACATCTATGTATTACAGTAAAAAACTAAGATAACCTACTGAGATTCCAAACTGCATGGGCTATATTGTACAAAACTGTCAGCAAACATTTAATATTGTACTACATAAACAGAGAGCCTTAATAATCTTTACAGTACTGTACAGTATATAATATTGTTTGGTTTTATGCAATTTCATATATTTCAAGCACATCAACTACACAGTATCCAACATGGTCAGGATAATTTTTTGAAAAACTCTTCTGTTTCCTCACATTTATGTTAACACTCTTGGGGTTTTCATATGCAAAATTGCATATGATCAAAATTATCGCTTTAGGGTATTCATATGAAAATTTGTTTATGAAGTAAAAAATTTAAATAAAATTTTTTTTTTGCGTACAAACACTAGACACACAATTGGCAATGTCAGTGCGATCTGGCAAACTATGTAGACTGCACTTCAAGGTTACCACGCCATTTCCCTTTTGTGTTTAAAGGACCTAGGATATAACGATCTACATTTCCCATGCAGTTTCTTGCAGCTTGTGCCAATTTCTCGTACATCACAGTGATTTCCTTTATTCTTAAAAGGTTTTGTAAGAGTTTTGAACCATGCCTCGTGTTGCTGACGAGGGTGGAGGGGTGTTAAAACGTAAAAAGTGCAAAAAAAACTACACCATGTGGTGATAGTGCGATGCCTCTCCCAAGCGAAATATTCATTTTTTAACAACCTTTCTTTAACTATTTTTTCCTGAATATGTATACTTTATAACAAAATAAGGCTCATATTGCAATCACATGAAATAATGAAGATATAAAGTGATGTATAAACATTTTCATTAAGCATAAACAAAAATTTTGTGTTCTACTCATACTTATGTATAGAAATAATTATTTTATTGTGATTACTTATATAAAACTTTGTAAATAATTTATTTACAATGCTAATGCAATAAATCCCACCTTTTTATCTCAAAATGCAAGCTTGCTATGATTCATTACGTACAAATATCTCTCATGTGGTGAGTAACATGCCGGACCCCGAGCGTCTCGCGGTATAGCGCCTACCCAGACCCAAGAGTGTTAATGGAAAATGCATGTATAAAGATAAGAGATCAATTTTTGTCTGTGCTGGACTTTGAAGTACACATAGTGTAATACAGTACGTATCCGAGATGATGCACAAATGTAGAGATGGCTGGCTAGAGAAGTATTTTTCCCATGATACAATTTAATCACAACTGTAATAACAGTAATGGTACCATACCCTTGGTATTGGACAAGTCTTTCCTAGCTTAATGGCTAATCTCCATTTTCTTCTAGCAACAATCCCTGATGTGGACAGATTCAGGGAAAAGCCTCATTTTATTACAAGTTTGTCAGAAATTGGACTGTAGTCTCAAGAGCCATTCTTTCACCAGTATCAAAAATGCAAATAAATGGCTAATTCTCTTAATCAAATTAAATTGAAGTTGTTTACAGTCATTCATTACACCTTTAAACAAAAAACAAATTTACTGAAAACTGAAATAGGAACAGTGCTTAATACTGTCATTATTGTTTCAATTTGCCCCATCACATATAACAAACACAGGATATCAATAATTGTTTTCTCATGTTACAATGCCGTACAGTACACTGTAAAATAAACTTTCATTAAAAGTTCTTACAATGTCACTTATCATACCAGTCTAATCAAATTATACCTTAATACTGTAATCTTTATTGTTTCGACCAGAAACATACGACCTAAACTGTGATCTGGAATGACCGATGTAGGAACCAGAGGCTGCCTCACTCTCATTATTTCTCTTTCTTATCTCCAGATCACACTCAGCCTCTGACAATTCATTATGGCTGCTGGAAAAGCCCACAGGTGGCGTGATCTTCCGCGTGAAGCCGTACTTGCCATCGTCCGAGCTCTTTGGGTCTGACCCATGACCCATTTTTTTGGGGAAGGAAAGGCTGGTCTCCTGAGTAACCCCTCTGATGCTAGCAGCCATTTTGTTGAGGCCACGGTTGCTGAAGGCACCCACCCGTGACACTTTGCTCCCTTCTGTCTTACGTGGAAAAGACTTGCGCTCCAAGATCGGTGAAGGTTCTGTTGAGGTGCTCGACTCCGGCGCATGGTAGATGAGATCTGTAAAGGGAATTCTGATTTTTGCAACAATAAAAACATACTAAACAGTTCCTTTACCCCTTGTGGTGACGTTTACATACACGTGGCAGCGTCACATAATTATTAGAGTACACTTATAAATGAATCAGTCAACAATGGATGTGATTGATGAAAAAAATTCCTAGATCAGTGAGAATTGTGGCCATTTTTATGGGGACTTTTGGCCATTTATGGTGAATTTGGAAAAGTTTTACAGAGAATTTTGTAAATGTTTACGAGGCTTGGAAATTCTCACTGAATTCCTATAGAATTTTGGCCACAGCCATTTTTATGGAGAATTTTGGCCATGGGCATTTTCACGGAGAATTTGGGAAATTTTTATGGAGAATTTTGGCCAGTTATTTAAAAATAAAATAAAATAAATTACAGAAAATTTTGGTATTCTTACTTATAAGAAGCATCTGTACTGTATGTATATTATTATATTCAGTTTATATTATATTTATATATCTATTACTATTACCAAGTGAATTACATTTAGGAATCTTTTCCACCAATCAGCTCCATTGTTACAAGACTACTACAGATTCATTCATGTGTTTAGTATTGCAACACTGCCACATGTATGCAAACGTCACCACAGGGAGTAAAGGAATGCTTTGAGGCAACTGTACATACCCAGCGCAATTATTCAATAATTAAGTGTCTGTCAAATGATCTGGAAAATTAAAAGAGGGGGACATACTTTTGGCAAAAGTAATGCCTCTTAACTGAAAGAAATTTACTGTTTTCTTAAGTGCACATCAAAGTATAATTGTTTTTACTAGAACAGATAAAAATAATTGGAAGACTAAAGTAATTTGCCCTTAGACAGTGGAACTCACTATGATGGACATTCCTGGTTGCAGCCTTACGAGAGCCATGGGCAGCATGGACCTCTGGACGGCCTTCTAGCGTGGCCAGGTGGGGGTCAAGAGGCAGGTGGAGAGTGGCCTGATTCTCCAAGGTCGCCGAGTCCAGGTGGATAGAGGACTCGGTGCGGGAGGAGGTGGCATGCTCCGTGTCGGTGTCGGACTGCAGGGAGTCATACTCTTCACTTTCACTTCGAGGACCGCCCACACCTCGCCCATGACTTCGGCTACGCCCATGGGTCTTTATGGGCGTGGGGCGACTGGGCTGATGGTTGGCACACATTGGGTAGGGTTGGTGGGAGGGCGAGGTACACATGCTTAAGGTAGGCGCATGGCTACTGCTACATTACCTTACTTTAATGGTTGGTCAAGCCGCTGATGGCAATTAAGTTTCGCTAATTTTGTATTAATTATTTCATTTTGCAGTTACTGTAAGAAATTTAGTCTAATGGTTGGTCAAGCTACTGATGGTGACTTTCGCTAATTTTGCTAATAATCAATTTAACTTGCAGTTAATGTGCCAGTAACTACTTTAGTCTTTTCTTATCAATTTATAATAAAAAACAATGTGAATGAATTTATTTGCAACAAAGAATTTAGTTTCATTTATATGCCCATACCCAGTACAGTATACTGTACAGTACAGTGTATATATATATATATATATATATATATATATATATATATATATATATATATATATATATATATATATATATATATATATATATATATATATATATATATATATATATATATATATATATATATATATATATATATATATATATATACCCCCCTTACGACTGCTTCGACTTACGACCGCCGAGTTGTGACCATTTTTTTTTCAATTTTTTTTTTGAAATGACGCACGCATTTTCTATACCGAAACGTTTCCAGTTAATGTAGTCTCCATGTATAATTAGAAAATTATGGGGGCCCCATGTGCATTCAGCTGACTACATTAAAGGTAAGTGCTCAGTCACACTGTATCCATTCCTTATTATTTATTACTTTCACTGTACTGTATCCATTCCTCATTATTCATTACTTTTACTGTACTGTATTTCATTGTAGATTTTTTTTTATCTATGACCATTCGGACTTACGACCTGGATTTGGGTCCCTAACCCCGTCGTAAGTCGGGGTCGGTGGTGTGTATATAGTGTATATATATATATATATATATATATATATATATATATATATATATATATATATATATATATATATATATATATATATATATATATATATATATATATATATATATTTAAAAAAAAATTATACATACTGCCTTACAGATTTTCGTAGAAATTATGCAAATGCTTGTATTCCAACAGCAACATTGTCCTCACTTGTGGGAGACTTTGCGCATTAGCTAGTGTGGACAATGTTGCTATTGTAATACAGTACTGTTCAAGCAAGCATGTGATCTCCACAAAAATATTTAAGGTAGTATGTATATATATTTTTCTGAGACACCATATATATACAGTACACACTGTAACTTTCAACCCAAGTTCAGCATGCATTAGACAGCTTTCATTGTGATTGAAAATATATATTACTGTATTTCTAAAATTAGATTGAGTTAGCGTAAACACGTACGGATTTAATATAATGGTTCATGCAAGTGGATGATTGATCGATTGATATCACATGATTTCTGTCACCTGACAGGCAGTCGGAAAGCTATCTTTTTCCTGAAGTGGTCATATCATTCGCTTGAAATTTAAAAAAGTACCTGATATTTTCTGAGAGAAGATTTTAAATGCATGAACTGTGAGAAAAACTTTCATTGTGATTTACAGTATTCACTTTGTTAATGCCAACATGCCCATATTTTTTTTCAGAACAGTTGCTTTATATGCATATCCATTTCACAGTAGGTGATTACCGGTATATAACTTGCCCTTTGCAGTGATCATCTACTCGAAGGGTTAAGACATTCACAGCACAAGGGAAAAGGGAATGATACACTGGCAATAATAATTCGAGTTACAACTACAAATATTTTATATATTACTTCAAAAACAATGTAATGCATTTTATTAGCTGATTTTAATCAATATATGCAGCATTAAAATATTCAAAAGGTTTTGCTTAAAAGAATATAGCACCCAAGATTTCATCATACACTTTGCATTCATAAAAAACTAAAGATCTATTAATGTAAGATACATTCACAGGTGAACTATTCTAATAACACCACGTCTTAAAGAAACTTTCATGCATTTATAAAAAGCTCCTGGTGTAAATCCAGTTGCCATAAAAGAATTAGTGAAACACTGAGGAAAGAACTTTAAGCACAACCAATTATGCTTTACTCAAAAGCCAAGCACTGAATGCCCTCCTCAAAAAGTCACTAACTTTAAGTCCCAAGCTTGAATAAGTCTCCAACCATGATATCCTTGCAAAAGAAAGTGGAAGAGTACATATCTTGTCGACATTCAAGCCTAATCTCCCACACCCATGTGCAAACCAGGCACTTACCAAACATACTCATTCCCATAACCTAATACCAAATAAAGTCACAAAACAAGACTCTCACACACCTATCAAACACTGTTAGTTACTACACAAACAATATCAAACATACACAACCTTTCCCTACCTATCCACAACTCACACTGTCAACCATCAATTACTGTACACATACATTTCTCAAATATAGCCACCATATAACTTACCAAAAAGATCTGTTTCCTCCCCAATCCTTTCTTTATCACCTTCTATTTGTAATTTCTCAACCTCACCCTTCCTCCTCTTAAGCCTCACCCTGCACAATCTAACAGATACAACCACATCTTGGCAGAGAGGAGGTACATACCGAGGTAGGGGGTCGGCCCTCAGTAACTCCATAGCGAGCATCCTGGAAGACAAAGGTCTGGAACTTGGCAGTCGCGGTGTCGTCCTGACCACCTCCACCACGACCCTCGCCCAACTGGAAGGTCGCGTATGGATAGATGTCCTCAGAGTACTCTGTTGAGAGCGATAATCCATAGGTACCAAGAGAATAACACTTACAATAATAATGTTGGTAACATGAATGTCATTATGGCAAAAAATGATAGTAATACAGTATGTAGATGAAATAAATACCTTGAAGACAGAGAGCATAGTTTAGGTTAAAAAATATTGTGAAGAAACATATTGCCTAAGTTAGTACCAAGGGACAAAATATTGCTTAGTTAAAGTAAATGTGATGGTTAAGAATAAAGTGTTGGTATAATTTGTAGGTAAAGTATATACAGTAACATGAAATTAGAAAGTATTGTTTAAAATATAGGGTACTGTAGTATGAAGAAAAAACATGTAAGCTGAAGAATATTTGTAGCTGGGGAGAAATTAGGAAATATAACTGATAAATATTCGTTTGAAACAGTAATATTTATGAGGCCAACAAAAAAATCAGACATACTGACCATTACGCCTAAAGCAACAACAGTTACCGGTACCTTTTCATATGTCACACAAACAACAGGATCATGAACTCGTAAAAATAAAAAGCCTTTAGATGCGCCTTCAAAGTCTCCACCAGGTCCAGCTCTCCAGGGAGAAGGCCAACCAATTGCACAATTGAGTCACTGTTTAGGAAAAGATTGGACTACAAAAGAATGCTCACACATGGCTCTAGGTTCAACAAACCAAAAAGGATCATATTTTAAACAGTAATGTATGGTAATTAGAAGTGACAAAAGGTCAACCAAATGCTGTGCTTGGCTCACACGATGATACAGGTACTGTATACATATTTAAGGATCATCAAGCACAGTTTTAAGTCGACTCTAACCTTAACAGGGAGCCAATGCAAATTTATTATAAATGGAGCACAGTTCCAATTTTGGAATTCTAGGTGGAAGTGAATAAAAGTAAAAATTAATGTATTTTGGACAGACTGGAACTTCTTCAATGTACAATTTGGGAAGCCAAGTCATGAAGAATAACCAAAATGTACATATGATACAACCAATGGAGTATATGTACAATTGCTAAATGATTCTTTCTACCTAAAACCTTTTTACCAGTTTTTAATATCTAGTTTTCACTAATCCTTTTTATTCAACCATAATAATTAATAATTTATATTCAGCCAATTTGACCAAGGGTAGCTGACAAAACCATGAAATGCTTGTTTCCATTAGTCTTTATGCCATGCCAGCAGCATCTGGTGTTCTTAGGGCCAGGTCACCTATCCAAGTCGAACCAGTCCCAGCACTGGTTAACTTCGCTGATTGGACAAGAGGCATTGTTTCCAACGATTCTTTCAATGCAACCATTCATTATGCATTTATATTTTTGGGTTATCTATTATAATACCTTTCTCATACATAGTAATGCAAGGGATCCCCGCAGTTAATTGGGACCATAAAATCGCCTCTGATAACAAATCCACTTAAAGCGGGGAATTAATCCCAAAAGAAATAATGGAAATAGGTCAAATTGGGACCGTGACATTATTTTAAGAAATTATTTAACTTTATAAGTTATCTAATGTCTCTAAAGTTCATTGGGGTCGGTGTGTTGAGGCAACGTACATGTAGGTTGTGCCAGTGTAGTGGACACTCTCCCCTACAACTGCTGATTGGTCACTTACCGTCCGATTCCCAGCCAACCAATGGCGAGTTCCACAAATCAGCCCTCGCGTTCGAACTGCGCGGTGAATGGCCAGTTGGCGCCTTCACCTCAGCCAATCAGCAGTGTTTCTCGTCTTTTCACGTTGACTTTTGATCCGGCACAAAGATATAAATACCCCCCCTGGCTCGACGTGAGGGCAGACAACACCAAGCTCTCAAGTAGAGATGACCTCCTCTAAAGAATCTCCTATACAGTATATATATATAAAATGCCATTGTGAGTTTCCTTTCTCACCTCCATCCTTCCTTAGTGCGAGATCTCCTACATGTACGTACGAGGTATGTATGTGAGCCTAACAAAGAGAAAATAGACAAACACAAAGAGAAATTAGACTACTGGCCACATACACTATGCTACACCAGCGACCCAGTGGTCCTCAGCAAATGTTGTTGGTGCACACTCATTCCAGTGGTTCATTGAGACAAAATACTGTACGTACTTATTATAATGTTTTAAAAATAAATAATTTTAACATAATAAAATACAGTACAGTACAGGATATTTCTATTTACTTAGGTTAAAGGTAGAGATGTTTGGCTTGATTGGGTTGATGGAGGTGGGTGTTGGGGGATGGAGGATGATAAAGAAACAGGACTAGGTGGATTGTCCACTCCCACTCTTTTTTTGCCTAATCACTTCTAATTTTACATCTATACTATAGCTAGTGTGCTTTCTTTTGAGTGCTGCACCACCCTGTTTGAGTTGGGAACTCATGGCTACAAAAATTATAAAATAATTCACCACAACATGCATGAAAAGACACAACAAAGTCAGGAGTAAACACAACACAGCACTGGTCTGGTCTGGACGAAACAAAGCGGGAGACTGGCACGGGGACACATGTGTGCATGCATGACACTCTGCAGAGAATTTAAGGTGATTTGAATATCAGAGAGTCTTGCTGGATGTTAGAATTTATGGGAATATTTTGAAACTGTACTATGTTTTTGAGAATTCCAGAATATAGCTGGCCAGGTATTCAGTGTTCTACAGTATGATGCTTTTCAAGGTGTCTAAAGTCATATTCTACACTTCATGGTGTTTTACAACCTGTTATTCTGTACTCTATTTAGGATATACTGCAGTACTGTATTGTACAATATTTCAAAGCTGGAAAACATCTACTACTACTCATTAAGAGCTAAGCTTTTCCCTCTAAAGGTTGACCCAAACCTGCCTTGTTTCTGGTATACCACACATTGAGGTGTCAAATAAGTTTTTGTGTGATCCCAGAATAAGTAATAAGATTCACATTGTATTACTGACTCCACCAACTCAGAATTATTTTATAAAACTCAAACACAATCAATTTCCTTCCCTTGTTGTGTTATTGGTCCTGAGTTCCTTGCACAGAATTAACCTTCCAATTCCCTCTTCTTCAGATTATTTGCAGATGTCGTCTTGGGGCCATCAGTAGTTTCTTTTTAGGTCACCTGTCAGCCCATTTTAGTAATATTATGCAGATCCTACTTAAGGTCACTTGCTACATGATAGTTTTTGGTAAATTTTTGTAAGTTTCCTTTTAGGGTAAAATTTTTTAGTTCCATCTTTTAATTACTCCTTGTAGGCATCATCCTAAAAGTTACCATTTGCAGGCCCAGCTTTAAGTCACCATCCGTAGACCCCCATTCTGGTCTTCTTCTGCAGTACCCCTTTTTCAAGTCCCCTTCATGTCACCTTTTACATGTGCCCTTCATGTCACTTTTCCAAATCCCCTTCATGTCATCTTTTCCAACTCCCCTTCACATCACCTCTTCCAAGTCCCATTCAGGTCACTGTCTACAAGTTCCCTTCAGGTTACCTTCTATAAGCTCCTTTCATGTCACCTTCTACAAGCTCCCTTCATATCACCTACAAGTTTCCTTCATGTCAAATTCTACAAAGTTTCCTTTATGTCACTTTCTACAAATCTCCCTCAGGTCAACTTCTACTACAAGTCTCCTTTATGTCACTTTTTACAAGTCTACTTTACCTCACCATTTGTAAGCTAAAATTTAGGTCACTTCCAATAGGTCACTTGCTTCCTCCCTAAGAAATAACTTTCAGTAACTATGCATTTCCGATCACCTCCTACACATTCCCTCCTTATGCCACCTTCTGTTAGCCCCTCCTTTACACTATCCTCAACACCCTAGCATACCAGAAACCTGACAAGTATGGCAGAGAGAGACTTCCGGAACCTAGGGGATACCTGTCTCCTTTTCCCTGGTACCTGGTATTCGCTCTAGGGTGGCAGGTACAGGCTGGGGTTTCCTGACGGTGGCATAATAGGCATCACGCTGTTGCAGGAGGTTGGTCTTGTTCTCTTCCACCTCCTGATCTTCTTGTGATGCCCGACTGCTGCGCCCTGCTGCTGCTCCTGAGGGAGGAGAGGGGACGTGTGATGATGTGGAGGAAAAGGAGAAGGAGAGGGAAGAAGTGGAGGATATGAGCAGTGAGAGAGGTGCTGACACAAATAGTGAAAAGAGCAAAGATGGTGAAAATGTGATTAGGCAAAGAAGAGGCTGTCAAGGGGTTGTGAAGAAAGAGAGCAAATTAGGCAGTTATAAAGAAGGAAGAATTATCAGAATGGACAATTTTATGAGCAATAAACAAGTACCGGTAACTAAAAAGTGTCCAAAACCATACAAGAATATATCATAAAGTGTAAAGTATGTTAAACACGAGAAATATAAACATGATAATCAGTAACATTTTTAACTTCTTAACAAACAACATCATTAAAAAAAAAAAAAATTTCTGATACAAACAAACAAAAAATGGGAAAGAGCAACACAGTGCTTGAAGACCAAAAGCACTTATACAGTATAACTGTCCAACTGCACAAGTCACATTAATGACTAAATATCATGCAGAAGCTATATGCAACAAACTAATCACATCCAGACACATTCTGATTATAATCTACAAAAATGAGCCAAAAACTGGGACTTAAACATACTGGCAACCCTACCCTTACTTTGGGCAGCTCTTCGTTTTTCATTAAAACTGGGACTCTTTAAGACATGGAGATTCATTCCATAACTGACCCCAAAATTATAAGCACATGAAGAAGAGGGTTTAATCTCCATTTTCCATTAAAATTGGTGCTAATTAGGGCATGGGGCCCAATGACACCCGAGTCCTAACGGGTAGCAAACCTTGCTTTACTTTTTGGCTCCTTGATTAGGGTGATTTCTGCCTGGTTAACAGAAAGTTCATAAGTAACCAAAACTTTCTATTAACCGGACTGACTACATACAAATTAATTCAGTTAAGGGAGGGGGGGGGTGTTTACTACATTATTCATCAATCATTTATTCAACTACAGTATTCATTTTAGCTTACCCTGTAGAATTGGAGTAAGTATGGTAGGTGCTGTAACATGCCTGATGTCACCTAGAGTGATGACTAGTAAATTATGTAAAAACACAAAAGAACAGGTTGAAAAGAATAATACAGTACAAACAACCCAACAAAAGAAAGGGAGGTTTGCCGAGAAACATAATAACATCCGTTGATGCACATGCCAGAGTACTGTACTGCCATGAAGTATACAATCAGAAATCTAAATGCATCTCAAGAAATGACCCTCTAACATCCCTCCCCCCCTCCCTGATGTCAGATTCAAACTTATCATGTACGGCATCATTCATGTTCCAGAAATTCCGTTTTTTTTATGAAAAAAAAAATCATCTTTCTTAATATTTTGGGTTAGTTACATCTCGAAGTGCCCTTTGGCTGATCTAATTTAAAGCTCTTTTGTACACTACATGATCTACATGATGTCCTTTATTCCTGTTTTTCTTCCACAATTGGTATTTTCTTTTGCAGTCATTTCTAGATCTTTAATTCATCCACCAAGCTTTGTTCCCTCTTGTGCTTGTTTTCCAGGGTATACATTCCTCTACTGTTATCTCAAGGATTTCCATGAAGTCTTGCATTGATTCGTCTATGTTCCATTCCTCTTTTAACAATTTCTTCCCAGGTAATTCTCTAGTTTGTGCCTCATGAACCGGTAATCTCCATGGTTCAAATCATAATATTCCTCCTCAAATACTTTATCTCAACTTTCATGGACTGTATTCCATCTTAGTACATATAGTGGTCGCTGGTCAGAGTTAGTTTCTCCCAGATGTGGACCTCGTCCACCATAGCCTCCTTAGTTGTTAAGACTCCTGTAAATCTAGAATGTTGTCTCCTCCCATGGGTTCAGACACGTGTTGCAAGAGGAATGAATCGTGAATGAGAACAAGGAATTCTTTTCCCTCGGGTTGTGTGACAAGATTCACCCAGTCCAACATTTCGTGATTAAAATTTCTCACGATGAGGGCTTATGCTCTGTGCTCTGGGTGCTGTTTCAATGATTCTATGAAGATTTGCTAATCCCTCCTCTGAGGTGGAGTCAGCCCAATAACACACACCTACTGTCAGCTTGCTTTTGTTTTGAGCTATCAAATCCCAACAAATATACTCGGATAATCCATTTCATTTAGCTCGTCATAAATGGCGACTGTCAGGTGCTATTTCATATACATTAGTACACCACCACCTCTTGTGGATCTGTCTTTCTGAATGGTAGGTGATACACTGGAAAGTAAAATTCACTCTGATGCATCTTGACGCTAGGACTTGCTAATTTCAATAATGTCTGGTTGTTCTGTGTCCAAGGATGCACTCAATACATCAGTTTTATTAACTAGACTTCTGGCATTCGTGGACTAACACTTGACTGGCCTGGTTTTTATTATTATCCTATTTGCAGACCGAGTCTAGAGGGTTAGTAGATTCACTCACATATTGCTTGGAAATTTCTTCTCTCTCTGGGTTCGCAGTATTACTGAAAGCAAAAAGCATGCATTGTTAACGCTATTTACAGTTGGTTCACTTCTTGCCCTTATTAGTGAGAGAGGTGGTAAGGGCAAGAGGTAAAACAATTGTAAATTCAGTAAAATTATAATAGTGCATAGAGAGAACATAATTCATGTTGAATTCTTGTAAAAATAAAGCATTGGTGTCAATACCTTTCCCCTGTATACTCATGATTCTGGCCTACCAACAATATCCTAATATTGTACACCTAAAAATACATTCTGCACCCTTGACTCTGAAACCATCAGCAACGATCACTGCAACAGAAGCCATGATGAGTGTTATTTTTTAGTGAGTGTACATTATTTTTATTTACCATATTAAAAAAGATTACTTAATCTGGATACACATGCAGCTACTCTAATTCAGTGGCTGTGTGTGTTTTCAGACAAACATAGATGCTGAAAGTTTATTTCATTAAAACATACATTACAAAACAGAGGCATCATGCTCAAGACAAAACTAAAACATAAAATATTTCATAACATCAAAAGCAAAGAAAATCAACAAAGGAAATTATGGAGAAACATGAAAAAAACTAACATAGATTTTGGGAATAATGACTACAGCTCTGAATTCTGAAGCTGAATTAATGAAACAGTAATACAATAGAAACTCTCAAAATTTTCAGTCATTACTGAAGAAAATATTAAAGTGTTACCACAACACAGTGAGATAAACAAAGATTTTTCACTACAGTCTAGCATCAAGAGTGTCATGGATGCAATAAGAATATTGGAAAGGTTAATACTGTATACACATATATTATAAATATACAGGCAGTTCCCGAGTTATGACCATCCGGCTTACGATCATTCGCACTTATGAACGGGATCCCAAGACATTCATCGCAGAAATTAAACATTAAAATTCCATTTTTAAGATTATTTTCATTATTCTATATTGTTTAACCTCACTTTATTTACAGTACATGTATTTACATTATTTATTAAGCATGGGATATTACAGTACTGTTGTTTTGTATGGGCAGGGTTGCTCTTTAACCTAACCTAAACTATGGAATTATAACACTCTTCTGACTTATTAACAAATCAACTTACAATCAGGGTCCAGGAACGCATCCCTGTCATAAGTTGCGTTAATCTGGGACTGCCTGTGTGTGTGTGTAAATAACAAGCATCGCATTGACTGGGATAATGCCTCCTCAATATTACCTTGTAATTCAATTGACAGTAGGAACATCATAGAATCTAGTCTTATTAAACATACCGAAGCATTCAACGTGAATTTGAGTAACGGCCTGTACAAACTGGACAATTTTGTAATTAATAAGATTTTTAACCAGGTGAGAAGGGCGGGTCACCTTAACATCTGACCTGACCACCAACCGTTGTGTGCTATTTAAAGATTAGTAGGGTCATTACCCAATACCTGACCATTATGGACCTGGTCTCACTCTCCTCTGTATATATACACCTTGTTTTGTACTTCTCTTTAGTCTGTACTCACCCCTGAAGATGTGAATTGCACGAAAGCGCTTGGGAACTTCGTGTTTTCTTCTTTCCTTGTGGTTATCAGCATATGCCTAGATCACGCGCAACTACAGTGATTTACTTGCATATATATATATATATATATATATATATATATATATATATATATATATATATATATATATATATATATATATATATATATATACAGTGACCCCTCGTTTAACGAACACCTTGGTTAACGTAATTTCGATTAACGAACTGCCTTCCATAAGGATCTTCAATTCGGTTAACGAAAAAAATTCGGTTAACGAAGTTCTTACGAACCGACCTCAACGTGTTTTCGCTTGCACTGACCGGGCAACCAGCTTTAGTATCAGTCCGCCAATACTTTAATCGGTTCTAGGGCTTAAATTCCTTACTATTTTAGTAAATATCAAGAAGTTTATACTATTCAATAATTTTAAAAGTTTAATATTCAATTTTTTAGCCATTTTAACAATTATTGAACATAATTGAAGGTAAAGTGACTAGTTTAATGCGCGGCATCCAGCCTCTTAACACAGCAAACAGGAGTTAGTCTCTCTCTGTTTTCACTGGAGGTAACATCTTGCTCGAGACTCTCTTCAACTAAACGCTTTTTTTCTGTGTTTCCAAGCAAATTATTAGTCATTTTGAAATATATTTTACATATTGACAATATATAATGCAGTGCAGTGTTGATTTAAAGAAAATAATCTTGAATTACACCAAGAGAGCTAAAATTTTATGGGTGAAATGGCACCATGGGGTGACTTCTCTTCCACCCCAATGCCTTCTCTTCGTCCTTCTCCTCCAGCCCCATTCTAAATCCCATCATCATCATCATCATCCAGGAGCCTTCTACATACACACCTCAAAGTAAGTGAACTTTTCTACCATTTTCGTTGAATTTAGGAAATTTTCGGTGAGCTGGAACCAATTACCCAAAAACCCATTGAAACAATGGTTTCGGTTAACGAACTTTTCGGTTAACGAACGACCTTCTGGAACGGATTGAGTTCGTTAACGGAGGATGGTTTTTTTTTTCCGAGTTTGAGAGATGAAAATCAGGCACATTTTCAGGAAATTCCAAGAAAATTTTTCCGTTACCTGGAAAATTCCGGGAACGAGGGATTTTTTTTCCAGCTTTGAGAGAGTCGTCTCGTTACCTGGAAATCTCTCATTCTCAGAAGTGCTCGGCACCAATTGTTCCACCTAACGAGGATAACACTGTACTAACTCACAGAACACTGAGAACACCTCTAAAGTGGCAATACCAATGATGTGGCTACCAGAATTTGAGAGACATCAAGTGTAGCTTAGCGGTGAGGAGCAACTCACGTCTCCTAAGGCAGAGGACGGCGGCAGCAACAGTGAGAGCAAGTGCTAATGCTGATGCTGCTGCTGAAGCCAGGAGACGGGGGTCAGTGTGCAAGGGGTTGTGGGGTGCTTCCTCCAGACCCCCAGGTGACTGTGCCCCCAGACCACCCCCAGGACCAGTGCTAGTGTTGACGGTGGTTGTGGTGGCCCCAGCAGCATTGTGCGCTGTCAGGCGGAGGCCAAATGTTGCACCAGTGCGGAGGCCACCCACTTCATAAACTTCCTGTGGGGCCAAGCTGCTTGCCACTGTGAAACATAACAGAGGTCATGAGGCATACAAGCCTGAATAAGTCAAGCATTATTCAAGCATTAAAACCATATTTTACTCTGTTAATGCATATTTATGTATTAGGCTCTATAAACTTTTATTATCCCCATGCATTTTTATTGCATTTTCATTCCACACTGTACAAGGCCAAATTGCACCAATGTGAATAAAAAATGTGAATAATTATCAATATACTGTACAGTATACAGAGGGTATTACTGTACAGTATATTCTTTAAGGACAGATCCAAAGATCATAAAGCCCGTTATGGGTTAAGACACAGTGCTGGCACTTACCTTAATTAAATTGAATGCCTTACAGACATAATAAGCAATCCTCAATGAGCTTCAGTACCAGAAGGTATCTATCACTTATAATTAAACTTTTCATTAAGTAAACAGATCAGACAAAAATCTTCAAATACCTGTACATAATGCCACATGCCTCCCACAGTCACCAAGCACCTTCCATCTCCCACACTCCATTTGAGAATCAGTTTTTTACTACAGGGTACTGTATTTTCTCAAAAACTATTGGTCATATCATACATCTGATTACTGTGTTGGAAGGCCCATAAAATTTCTGCTGCTAGCAGTGTATACAGTAGTAATTAAAAAGTTGGCTCAGACAATTTTGAGCTAGGAAGTTGTGAATGTATTGTTGTGCATTTTTTCTCATGTTTATTAGAAGTGACGAAAAATAGTTATATACAGTACTTGTATAATTCTTTTGGGGAGGCTTATGTTGCAGAGCAATCAGTTATGAAGCCAAAGATATATGGTTTATGCCAATAAACACAAGTTTTGGGAGAGGAATTAATAAAGCGAAAACGAAATTCACTGTGGGCTGTCTCGCTTGCCCTGGGGGGCGTCAGAGATGTGATCTTGGAACTGGAAGACTTAAAACTTATCTCGTGCACGAGAGGGTTAATGAATTAATAAAATGAAATAAATTAAAATACAAAATAATTTACAGAACACCTGATAAATAAAAAAATAAGTACTGTATGCACATACTGTACAGTCTAAAAATCCACACAATTTAAATCTTGCATACTATCAACATAAAGAACTGGTAGGCATCCACCCTAACCTCTTGTCTACCTTACTTTATACACCAAAAATCAAATAGGTACTGTACTGTATAGTACAGGTACCACATTTCTCTCCACCCATTCTTCCTTGTATTTACACCATACTGTATATCCATGTCCTTGTAGGATTCAACATAAGAGTTTGTACATACAAGCCCATTGATCCATGTACTGTACAGTATCTTTGTTCCTTCTTTACTTTCTACTCCACTTCAACAGCTATCTATCTATGCGTGTGTTGAGTGTGTTTAAGAACAAAATCAATGATTACCAATTATTTCATTAAAAATGCTATGACTAATGTATTAATAACCCAAATACTGCACTGTACTCTACCATGAATAACATCCATGATTTTAAAAATAGCAAATTTAAATGGATGATACTGTACATCCATTATAAACCCATCCTTAAGTTATAATTAAAAATTTCCTGGAGATATGAAATGAATGCCAACACTAACGTGTAGTCCAGGTGGAGTCTCTGGGTCGTCGCAGCTCAAGAGTGAAGTGGGTGATAGGACAGCCACCGTCACTCCATCTGCCCAGCCACACCCAGATCCCTGTGCTGTTGCCTGATGCTACATGTCGAGTGGGTGGGGCCACAGGAGGTAACCCTGATGTTCTGGCTGTTAATGGGCGTGAGGGCGGTGATACACCCACATGCGTCCGAGATGTCACATATACCTGGGGTAAAATAAATCAAGAATCAAATACAATAGTATGAAATATTCAACATATCAGTAATAAAGAATAAAATATCAGTCATCAATGATGCTGAAGTGAGAACACTCAGAGCTGTAATTGGTTTTACACTGGTGGAAGGCCTATCCACTAATTGATGCTATACAGGAACTATCCAGTACTGTGTTCACCACTGGAGCAGAACCTATCAGCTACAGTACTCAGTCATGCAATAAAAGAGGACCTACCTAATACTTAGCCTCACACTTAAGGACACCTGGAACTCAAGTGTTACAGTGAAAGAGAACCTCACCAGGAATTTGGCCCTACACTGAAAGTGAACCTCATCTGATACTTGGTTACACAACCCAAAAGAGAAACTTACCTGGTAATTGGTCACATACTGAAGGATAACTTTATTTTATTTGGTCTTACACTAAAAGAGAATCTTAACTGTTATATACTAAACTCACACTTTGATAGAAAACATCACCTGGTATTTATTCACATTTTGAAGGAAAACCTTACCTACTTGGTAATTTAGTCACAGAGTGAAGAACCTCACCAGCAAAACAGAACCTAACCTGATGTACTGACCACAGTCATACATGTTAGTCAACATAAAATCAGACGATTCATATTACGCTCAACAGCCCATAAAACATGAAGCTATAACTTATTTTTTGTAGTTCCCCCACTGAGACATCCATTGTCTCTAATATATCCATGTTTATGTTAGTATAATTAGATCACGAATGAATGCGTACGTGTCACTGTAAGATACCAGTATATATATAAACCTGCTTATAGTTGAAACATTCACAATCCATTGAGAGTGATGTTGAAAGCTTCAGCTGTAATTTCTTACAGTGAAATTATCAAGTAAATCGAGTGTTAGAGTTTGCAATAGAGGTGAGAATCCTTTTTCTGCCCTGTGATATGTTCAGAGATGTCTACTCACCACTGAAGTCATATTGCTCAGAGAGTATGATGACTGTATAGAAATTATTGTCAGTTTTGTGTTTAAGAATGTCATTACTCATCTGAGAGAAACCTGCCAACTGTTCACTGATCTGAAATGTAACAGACAGGGCATCAATGAGCCTCTGTTGTGTTTATGCCAATTCCGCTAAAAAAGAGCATGCCATCCTATGCAGTGTTTGCAATTTACTTGATCCATTGCAAACTCAAACACTGATTAGATTGTAAGCGTCACCCTTAAGAAGTTGATGTAAACCATGACACTGATTCTCATTGCCCACTGAATACCGCAACTGAGTCCAATGAATATGTGTTTAAGTTCTTGTTGTGACATCATTGCGTATATAACCTGATGTACGAGAGAAGAGAGCTCACTTCTTACCCCTCCTTTCTCATCTATCAGGTATGTACCTTGTCACACACCACCATATTAAGTGAGTTGAACTTCGTTGAACATATCAGTGTTCCTGTTTTAACATAGCTGAATGTCTTATGTGTCAAATAAGCCTATAACGTAACTGAGCTTCTTCTGTGGCGAGTATCACCTGTTGAGCCGATCTTTTGGTGAAGAGGATAAAAGAAAAGGAAAAGTAATCAGAGACGTCACCGATCGCCCAAGCAGCTAACGAGACGATCAGTGGTGAAGAGGATAAAAGAAAGTAAAAGCAGGCAAGATGTCCGATGCAGGATGTCTTAAATATATCGAGACTAAGACTAGAGTGGGTGACATGCCCAGGGAGCCAGTCATGGGAGTGAGCTCTCAAACACCGAGTCTGGCCACAGCTTCGTAGTGTAGCCACCCGGCATTTGTTTTGAATACGAGTGGTGTAAGCTTGGTGTACTCATCCTGACTGTATGTGCAAATGATTCTTGTGTGCATTATTGTGCATGGATTATCGGGAATATAATAGTCCCAGGTCGAGTATTGAGACTGTAACTACTACAGTACTATCACACGTATTAGTTTTTGTTATGTATGTGAGTGAACCAGCTGTACTCACAACTGATATGTGTTGGTGTATTTTTCCAGGTTTGATAATCAGGAAATAGTGTGGTGCTCCAAGTAATAACTTCACTGTGTTAATGACAAGTGTTTAGAGTGACCATCACTATTATCACAGTTGTGTAATAATACCCTTAAGGTGGTATGATTATTGAATGTTGTAAATGTTAACTGAAGATCTATTTTGCTTCCCATGAAGTAAGACCTATTGGTCAGTAATATTTTACTAAGTGTCACAGTAAAGAAATCAGTAATTGAACCTAAGTTTGTTGTTGTGAGTGAAGGTTCAAATTGTCACAGTATTAATATTTGATTTTAATAAATACCGATTCAGTATAATGTGTGTACCACTGCTCATTCCTTCTAACAACAGCCATCCCTGAAAATACAATTGATAAATCATGTGCCTAACCTCTCTTGCATACCACGCTAACAATTTAATTGAGAGGTTCTTGGTGAATGTTACATTCTAAAGATAAAGCCTGGGTGGTGGCAGCTCTGAGATGTAAGTACGTACAGTAATTACACGAGTGTGAAAGAATATATAAGGATGTGGTTCTCACAGGTTAACCCACATAACAGAATATAACTAAATAAGATAGAAATAAATAAATAAGTAAGGAGACAATGAAAAAAATACATTAAGTACTTAGAGAAAATGAATTAGAAATTAAAGAAAAAAATAGAAACAAGAATAAAAGAGATATATAACCAATATCGTTGAAGAAATTAAATAAAGTGGCAACAACTAAACATTAAAGATTTACCCTCTTACACTTATGTTCAATCACACTGAAAAGGAGTACAGTACCCTGTATCACCTTTCATTTGGTAACACACCTGGTATTTGACCCTACAGTACTCTGAAGAAGAACCTCATCGGATATTTGGCTCCACAATGAAAGAGAACCTCACCTGATACTCAGCTCCACACTGAAGGTCAGTGATTATATATTTAGAGTGTGTGCGGCCTAACTCTCGAGTGTACCAGGAACCACCACCTGTGGCTGCCCGCCACCATACTGCCCATGACCGCACTGCTGCTCCACCTTTGTCCCCTGCTGTCCATGACACCATCAGTGTAGAGGCTGTAGCATCAGCAATGTGGACAGAAGGAGCACTAGGGGGCACTGTCAACAGGAGGATGGATTAAACTAAGCCATATGATAGTAATGGGAGGAAGCTTTAACAACAAATTCAAGATGGAGATCATTTGAAACAGGATAATTATGGTGTTGATTCAGAGAGAAATGACATTAATAATGATGAGGTTCATAATGAAGCAGTAATGTCAATGGAGGCCATTATTGTGAAGAGGGTGGGCAGGAATTCCATCTCAGAGGTTAACAGAGTTATGACTCTTCTGAACTGTGAAAGAAATAGCTTTGTGTTCATTCTAAATTTATAATGAAAATCTCATTAAAAAAAAATTTCAATGAAACATTGGTTGAAAAAATAAAAAAATAAACAGGGACATCCATTTTCTTTCTACAAGAATAAACAGGTTGAAAATACAGTGGTCCCTCGGTTAACGAGCACAATCCGTTCCAGCAGGTTGCTCGTTAACCGAAAAACTCGTTAACCGAAACCATTGTTTCAATGGGTTTTTGGGTAATTGGTTCCAGCTCACCGAAAATTGCCTAAATTCAACAAAAAAGGTAGAAAAGTACACTTACTTTGAGGTGTGTATGTAGAAGGCTCCTTGATGATGATGATGGGAATTAGAATGGGGGTGGAGGAGAAGGGAGAAGAGAAGGCATTGGGGTGGAAGAGAAGTCACTCCATGGCACCATTTCACCCATAAAATTTTAGTTCTCTTGGTGTAATTCAAGATTATTTTCTTTAAAATCAACACTGCACTGCATTATATATTGTCAATATGTAAAATAAATTTCAAAATGACCAATAATTTGCTTGCAAACACAGAAAATAGCGTTTAGTTGAAGAGAGTCTCACGCAAGATGTTGCCTCCACTGAAAAGACACAAAGACTGACGCCTGTATGGTGTGTTGAGAGGCTGAATGGCGTGCATAAAACTAGTTTCATTACCTTCAATTATGTTCAATAATTGTTAAAATGACTAAAAAATTTAATAATAAACTTTTAAAATTATTGAATAGTGTAAACTTCTTGATATTTGCTAAAATGGTAAGGAATTTAAGCCCTAAAACCGATTACTGTATTGGCGGACTAATACTACAGCTGGTGGACCACCAAATGCAAGCAAAAACATGTTCAGGTCGGCTCGTAAGAAACTCGTTAATCGAGGGATTGCTCGTTAACTGAAGTTAAAAATCTTATGGAAGGTAACTCGTTAACCGAGGCGCTTGTTAACTGAGGGACCACTGTATACCTTCCAAATAAAGGGAAACACTGTAATTAATATCTCTCTACAATGGATATTCTGTAGTAATAATATCATATTGAAATTAGATTACAGTACTGTACTGCATAAGTAACCATTCTAGCAAAAGGTACTGTATTTCACTTATGTATTTATTCTGATATCTATAGAAATTACTACCATAGTAAAGAAAATTTTCTGAGGAAAATACATCACCATAAAAGCTATTACCGGTTCAATGCACTGTACTCAATATTCTTTAGTTAAGTTAAATTAATCTTTTTTTTTTCAAACTTGAAAGAAACAAAATAAACTACTGTCCTGTATTATATTACAGTACAGTTTGTAGAATTCAGCTCTAAATATTTACACAGAGGGCTGTAATGTCTTGACAATAAGTTGGGGAAGTTACACTCACCTTGAACATGGAGGGTGTAGGTGGTGGAAGTGTGGACATAGGGGTGTTTACGGACACTGTGAATGGAGCATGTGTAATTCCCTCGGTCACCCCTTTCTACCCCACGGAGCATTAGTGACCCATCCACCTCCTGACTGAACCTGAAGGTAACCATTAAACAGTGAAGCTAAGGAGAAGTGGGAAATGCAAGGAAGAACATAATTAGGTCCCTTGCTGCCATGACTAATGACTCAAGAAATAAAACAAATTAATTATGGCTAATTTCCTAAACATCCTAGTGCAACAAGGCCAAAACTACCCAATATGTACAGTATTTAAAGGGTAAATACTGATTACTGGTTACAGGTAATTGTACTAAAATGTTGGATGCCTGTCTGCACTGGAAAACAAATGGCCAAAGTTCCCATAAAAAGATAAGAAAACATTGATATGTGAAGAATTTAAAAGGCCCACATTAGGCAGCATTATGTAAAATATTGACTCTCCAGTTCAATTAATTTTTGAGAAACTGCATTAGATGTAGGCTTGGGCAGGGCAATGGGACCCTCATACTGATGGATTTACACTTTGAAGAACAAGGAAAAAAGAAAGAAAAATACATTAAAAATAAGTTTACTGTACAGTAATTGAAAATGAAGTCAAAGCAAAATTTAATATGTACATTATCTGAAAAATGCATTGTACTGCAATACAAATCCAAGAATTTTGCTGCTAAGAATTACATTCTTTGGTAAAGATTCGGTACAGTACCATGCAAAATTGGAAATAAAAAACAATAATTACCCTGTACAGTATTCATGTGCCAAAAGAAATGTTCACATTATTTAAAATCACCATCAAATGCTGTACCTATCTTTAATTCTTGAAAGAATTAGTATGGTATGAAAATTCTCAATCTAATTCAGTTTAGTTGTAAACAAGTTAAGAGCCATGGGTGTCCATGGGGAGGAGGGGTGGGGGGTTATCCCCTGGATTATCCATGTAAAAAATCACCATAAAAAAATGCCATACGTTGCTTATCAAATTTACTTGTCAATACAGTACAAATACTCATCAACAGATCTGTCACCAGATTTTTTATAAAATTTTTAGATTTATACAATTTGATATAATTTTATTAATATTGTTTCCTTTTGAAATTTATCCTGAGGACACCAATGGTAAGAGCTTAATAACTAAATGTAATGGTACATTTAAATACTGTACTTTCAGATAAACTTACCTGCCATTTTTCTCTATGTGCCTGCCATCTATGGTCCAGGTGGGTGTGGGTGGTGGGTTACCTACTGTAACACACACCAACCTAACGTCCTCCCCCTGTGTAATCACCACCTTGCCCCCAAGTGATGCCACCCCTGATGGTACTGGCAGATATAATAGAAATACATCCATTAGTACAGTAATTACCCTTGTACTAAAGTAATATAGGAGAGCCCTATGGAATAATAGAGAAAAAGTCAGTCAACAATAATCGACAGTTAAGTGTGTTATCCATGTGAACTGCCATGCACCAACCCGGCAGTACAAAGGAGATTGACAAACGTGTTCCTTACAGAATATTCTAATTATCTCTTCTACCCCTGCTTAAGGTGTTGGGTGTGTGGACACAGATCTCAGAGTGTGATGGAAATGTATAAATAAACTAAAAGGGTACAGACTACAGAATTCGGGAACATCCTGGTATGGATTGGAGTCTTTCTTTATACTCGGCTACGCCTTAACTCAATTAGTACATAATTGCATTGATATAATGCAACCAAATCATGTTCACACTCTTAGCTTACTTATTATATGAATTAATTCTGGTTGAACATCACAATAACGCAAACAGTACTCACCTTGGTCAACGATAGTGAGCTTGGCGGTGGGTGTGGGTGGTCCCTCACCAACCCTGGTACGAGCTGTCATCCAGAACTGGTGAGTGCCATGGGCAAGGAGGGTCAGCGTGTGAGAGGTTGCATGGGCATGGAGGGGGTGCTGGGAGGGGGAGCGATTGTGTGGTGGGCGGTGGTGAAGGGTGTAGCCCAGGAGAAGACCCGTGGGAGGGTCAGGAGGGAGCCAGGTGAGTATAGCTGCGCCCACGCCTGACTGTAACACTCGGAGACCACCAGGTGCACCAGCCACTGTCAAATGAAACTTTTACTTCAGACAGTTTCCATTCTGGGAATAAAATAATTATCAAATAGTTCTTCAGGTGTCTCAGTCATGTAATATAATGTTCCTGGGTTATGTTTTGTCTGCATATATTAAGTTGGTTTAGATTAGGTTGGTTCCTTTTGTCTGTAATTATTTTCTTTTATCCTCTTTGCCACTGATCGACTTGTTAGCCGCTTGGGCGATCGGTCACGTCTCTGATTTAGTCCCGTTGTCCCGTTGAAACTCATCTCTCTCTCTCTCTCTCTCTCTCTCTCTCTCTCTCTCTCTCTCTCTCTCCTTAACCGTCTACCAGCTTTTAATTCACAGCATATAAATTAACACAAGATTTTGAATGAAAATTCCAAGAAATATCTACCATTACTTTCTCTACACACTTATCATACATACATTTATACTGTATATGTAAACTGTACACATGTAAGTACAGTATACAGGTATAAGTACTTATGAGGAATGCAGTATATGTGCAAGACGCATGCCATTTCACTAAGTTAACCAACAACTTTGTAGACTAAATACTTGTTTTGTCTATACAGTATATACATGCTGAACCAATGTAGACTAAAAAAAAGTAAAAAGGAGACTTGCTTGACGATTTTACCTAATCTATCTATCTATAATGGTCATACTCCATCTATTCTTTAGGATGTGTGGTCTGGCTCACCCACGGATCATTTAAACATCTGGTTTCACATAATTGCTTGAAAAAATTTTCAATAAATAAATTTTCTAATCAAATACGATAATATTAGCTAAATATAAGGATAGGATACTGTATAAGGAAAATTTGAATATATTGGTTAAAGATTAAACAAATAAATTAAAAATGGGCTGTACTAGACAAGGAATATAGAGACAGAAGACAAAGAAACTGAATGAAAAGGGAAACAAAAGTGACAAAAAATAACAGAGGTCACAAAATCATTAATTGCAAGGCTGGTCTTACAACCAATAGTGGCATGAGAGTGAGTTAACAGCGGAAATACAAATACCTCAGAGAGACTGTCAGTAAGTCAGAAAAGGTGCTCATAGGACCAGTTAAAAGAAACTAAAAATCCTATTATTTAGACTGTGCACAGGAGGGAAGGAGGAGCATACCATCTTCCCTGGTGGTGCAAGTGAGGTCAGGGGAGGTCACACCGGCACCCGCCCTGGTCACTGCTGCTACCGTCACTGTGTAGTTGGTCCAGGGCCGCAGCCCCCCAACGCTCTCCTCACGCCCATTGGTCATCCGCGTCAGGTCTTCCACCTCTTCTGCAAACACAAAAGTTTAATAAGCCCCTGTATAAGTTAGAGAGTACCTGTGATGGGACTATGAGTGAAGGCACTAATGACTTTGAGTTTAGAGAGAGAAGCTGTGGAAGTCCTGTCATACTAGAGGGTAGGTTACGAAAATCCTGCTGTGCTAGAGGCAAGGACTGGGGGGTGGTTCTGCTGTGCTAGAGGGAGGGACTGGGGAGTGGTTCTGTTGTGCTAGAGGGAGGGACTGGGGGTTCCTGTTGTGCTAGAGGGAAGGACTGGGGGTTCCTGTTGCTAGAGGGAAGGACTGTTGTGCTAGAGGGAGGACTGGGGGTGTTTCTGTTGTGCTAGAGGGAGGGACTGGGGTTCCTGTACTAGAGGGAGGGACTGGGGGGTTTCTTTTGTGCTAGAGGGAGGGACTGAGGGTGTTTCTGTTGTGCTAGACTCCGAGCACTGGTTCCCAAACTGGGGGCCATGGCCCCCCAGCAAAATTTAGGGGGCCATAAGCTGAGGCTATGTACACATAAAAATCCCAAGCCCCACCACACTAGAACAGCCAGTCAGCAGCTGAGCCAGCCAGAGATATGGATTGGGAGAGGGGGGCCATGGATAAGGATCATATATGAAAAGTGGGTAATGATCAGAAAAAGTTTGGGAACCACTGTGCAGCTAGAGGGAGGGACTGGGGGTTCCTGTTGTGCTAAAGGGAGGGATTTGGAGAAGTCGCTCAGTGTGAACATTTATTCTAAACATAATCATTTACACTGTACACATTATACAAAATCCGTATTATTTACTCACTGTAACTTACCTCATTTAAAAAAAAAAGTAACCAACGAAATTAAATACCAAATAAAATTATAGTACTGTATTTGTCTAATTCTACAGCAGTTTTACATACAGTATATCCATTAATGAAATACTGCTGATGCAAGTACAATACACCAAAATCTCCTACCAACCACGTGCCACAGGCCTGAGCCAGAGTTGGGCAGTCAACTATCTCAGTGACAGCTGTTATGTACTTATGTTTTCCTCAGTCATCCCATGAAGTGTCTCGTTTTCTCTTGACACCCTATAATCACTGTGAAGCTTAAAGTCTTCTTAAGATTGTGATGTATGTTTTGTTACTGATTTGTGATATGTTTTAGTAACTGATATGATTAAAGAACATTAACATATGATTTTGTGAAGCAGTTTTCAATGTGAGAATATTGCAGTGGTTTAAATGAAGAATAAACAAAATGTGGATAAGTTCGTGAAATCGTATTGGAACATAGAGAAGAAGTTCTCTCTCTCTCTCTCTCTCTGGGCATTATTGTTGAAGGACATGGTATTTTGTATCGTGAAAAACCCACAGGTTGTAAGGGTAATTCAGTGTTTTCTGGTAGTCATAAGATATTGTAAACTATTTGTGAAGCATATTTGTAAAGTAGAGAGAGAGCATATTATTGGATTAAGATATAAGACTCATATTAATGTAAACTTTGTGGAAACTATCAACAGTGTGAAACCATTATTGTGTAGTGGATTCCTCCTCTACAAACGCCGTGTGTCGCTGACTAGCCGATCCTCTTCGAATTCCCCAGCCTGTGCCTCGTGGTTTAGGTCGGTAACCAGCGCCGCCTAACATAGCGGAGGTCAACTATCAACCCACGCCTACCCCCGCTATATAAGACCTCACCCCGCCGTGACCTCTCTCTTTTCTACCTACAGCCACCAGCAAGCAACACCTCCTCCTCCGCTCCTGCCTAGTGGCCCTCGCTCCCGCCGGCGACCATGGCGCCCTACAAGCTGCCTGTCCTCTGAGCACCCTCACCAAGCAGCTCTCCCTACACCACGCTTGGACTCACGCTGCCACCCCCCAGCACCAAGCTGCATTGTACATCCAATACAATATGTATACAGAGAGCACATTGTGAGTTTCCTTTCTCCATCCCATCCTGAGTGTGAACCAATATCTCATAACCCCACAATTGCTTAATACACTGTTTTACGTAAATGTTCTATTTCCCTATCCTAATTATATTTATGTTACAGCGTAAGAGAGACTGACACAGCTTTCACTGTCCCAGCCAGATTCCATTCCAAAACATTTTTTCTCCATTGCCCGGGGTCTCAACAACCCAAATTCCTTTGTTAATATTTAAACAGTTGCACCCAATATCTTAAAACAAAACCCGTAACAGCAGTTCTTCTTATTCAATCTTAAAATATCGACATGTTTTATTATATGAGTGAGCCTCCTCGTAATCTGCAAGTGCTGGTCAGTTGATGAAACTCACTCCATATGTCTAAAGTTCAGAGGAGTGATTCTTTCTGTTCCCTCGTCAATTGTCTATTACAGTATGGTCAAATACTAATATTTTTTCTTTAAACTCAAAATTACCTTGTGTGACTCTAACTCATAAAAAATGACGTTTTTATTATATCGTCTTCCCGTTCTTTCTTTTTGTTTTCTCCATATATACAATACTCCTTATTTACTTACTAATCTCTGGGAATAATAGAGCAGAATGAGATAGCGTAAGAGGTGAACTGAGACATTATAAATACGAGTTTGGGTATGAATTTATACATTAAGTGAGAGAGCTTGAGAGCTTGATTGTGAGTTATGAGGCTTATGACTCCAACATTAGGTGAGGAACATCGTAAGTAATGTAAGTTAAATTATTTTTTAACAAGATAATTCATGACATTCTGAATAATACTGCTAGAATTAACGCATCCCAAAACTTCGATGCCACAGTCCTGGGTGATAATAACTTATTACTGTGTTATAAATTACTATGTAAAACAAACTCTGCCATTAAACAGTGCAGAGCATTTGGGTTGACATAACTCAGGGCTAGTGTGTTGACCTACCTGTGGACTTGACAACTCAAGACAGGGGCAATGACTTACCTGTGGAGTCGTCGAGGCGTGTCAGGGTGAGACGATACCCCTGAAGGAGGCCATTATGGTTGATGGGGGAGGGTGGCGCCCATCGCACTAGCAGGGACGACCCACCAGCTCCTCCACTACACTCAACCCCAACTGGAGGTGCTGAGGGTACTGCGTGAGGAGATGACAGAGCTTTATATTCAAATCCTTTTGTAACAAATAAGAACATTGTAACATCGTAGAGGACAAGGAAACTATGGAGAGTACATCAACTTGTAAATGGTGTCTAGACGGCCGAGTACTCTACTGTTCGAGCAGCCATAGATTTTAAGCCTGATTTTAATAAAAAATTTCATGCGAGTAATAATTTCTTCACCCTAACTACCTTATCAGATGTGTTCTACAATGGTGTTCCTCCTTCAATGCCAAGACCCAGAGATATCCATCAGGGTTGCCACATATCATCAGCACAGCAAATCCCCAAAACCCGCACGATGCCTTACTTTCTGGACATGCACTCATCGCTCCACCCCCTTCTCATCCAGTCCTTCCCTCATCCTAGCCTTCCCTCTCTCCCTCTCCTACCAGTCACTGTTTTATTGGGGATTAAATCTTGAAATATTGGGTCTGAATAGAGGTTCTGGAGGTCGTACACTGTGATTATGGGATCAATTTGTTATTTTAGGGGATATGGTAGGGAGCCATAATGAAGGTCTGAGTTAATCATGGTTACTAACAGTCGAATTTAATCATTTATTACTGTAGATAGACTCGCAGTTTAATTATATTAGTATTTCTAATTAAGTTCTATGCATCGTAGAGTTTAGGGCAATGGTATAGTAAAATGAATTGGTTCAATAAAGGTAAATAGTTTGGATGATCACTACAGTTACATGGATTCATATCTAGACATTACATTATTCTTGTTAATGGAAAGTCTGGGTATGATAACACGTTCCAATAAAAGAAAGACTGGTCTCATCACTAACTGTCAATCAACAGCCAACAAGATTAAAACAACAGAAAATTAGATATGTAAAAAGTAATAAAAAAAACAGAAGCTTAAGTCTGACATAGTTTCACCCAGCGTGCTACATTTTACCAACTTATAAGACGAGCTCTACTCTTAGGAGTGACCAAAACAATACAGTAGTTATTTGCCTTTACTCATTTTATGTATATTGACCTTACTGACCTCTTCTGGTACATTTTACTTTGATACTGTACTCATATCCTCTGATTTTGTCCCGAATGATCCAGCCATATCAGCTAACAATAAAACTTCTGTACTGAAAACTGTAGCACATAGCATCATAGTTTCTTCTATAATAAAAATTTTCCCTACAGCAAAACCACATACGTAGTTCTAATAATCTCGCCTGAAATAGTAGACGAGCACACAATACATCTTATGATCAATCAGATACTTTATTCAGAAAATTTCCTCTTAGTAATGTTATCTGAAAAATTATCCTGGATCTATCAATACAGATACTGTATTTAAGAATAGGCCTTATTAATAATCAACCTTATGCCAGGCAAAATTTATTGCTCAGATAAGGTGAACGAAGAGTTTTTTATTTTTATTTTTTATTTCCCAGTAGGTCCCTCAAACACTTCAAATGACTTGGTGAAACAATACCGTGTCCTTGGAGGGTCATCTCTCAGAGCCATACTCCTGACCATTAAACAATGTTGGGTATACTATCCCTTCTAAGAGAATCCGGACTAAACCCTTTCTAAAATCCTGACTTCATATAAAAAGAAGCAGTTGTGAATTTTCTACAAACTTTCCAATGTTTACAAAGGCATTAGAGAAAAAGACATTTGTAAAACAATTACTTTATATAATGTGGATAAATAAGAGACAAAAATATTTAAGTTATGTATGTAAATAGTATCTTCAAAATAATCCTGAAACCATAAGTTAAGCACACATTGAGTTAACTTACCATCCTCCATGGTCCTCACGATGACAGGGAGTGATAGGGGCCCAGCGCCGTGAATGTTGTAGCCCCGCACCACCACAGCATATTGCACCCACGCCCTCAGCCCAGACACCACTTCACGCCCACCTCCACCCCCACCCACGCCCACCACACTGAAGTTGTATGATCCCTCGCCACCCAAGCTGCAAAATAGATGACTACTAACAAAGGATAAACTCTAAGGAATTATACTGTACAATACTGTTATGGATTATAAGGATTACACAAGAACGTTTTGGATCATACCATTATGAGACACTTTTGAGTGTGTGTGTGTGTGTGTGTGTCCATACTGACACCTGCTGTCTTTTTTTGACTGTGTTTCTCTGTGAAGCTTTGATCACCCTCGTCACTACATACTCATGCCTCCTGACGCCGACGTTGTAGCCCAACAAGTCTCCATGATGTGTGTGAGGGGGAGGAGGGTCCCACATCACTCGCAGGCTGGTTGGAGAGAGAGCATCAGCTCGTACGCTAGTAGGAGGTGCCGAGGGTGCTTCTCCCTCCGTTCGCACCTGTAAGGGGGGTGGTGATGATGTCTTGTTTATTAAGGTATATTAAAGCTTATAACTGGTTTACATGGGGTATTTTCGTAAAAACTGTCATGCCAATTATTAAGGTTAACTGCAGCCTCAAAATCAAGTGGAGAACGTCTAAACAGATGATTTGTAATTTAATTTAATGTAAAAAACATTAACTTCAAGGTAAGATGTCTACCTATCGTAGGATGTTCTGAAAATTATTGGCTCCCAGTTTAATAATCTTTCAGTAGAAATTCTTCATCTCTTAAAATAATATCATTCTGTACACTACCTTTTAAAAATATAAGGAAATGTACTTTGTCAGAATCCTTGAAAGACCTGTCCTAAATCCATTCAAAATATAACTTTCAGAAATTCCCAGCCTTTTTGTACAGGAAATATCTAGACTCCTTCCCGAGACATTTTATAAGAGGACCGTTAAACTTCCCAAAACCTGGACCCTGGACACATCTGAACCCATCTAAAATTCAATTATCTAAACATAGCTGAACCTATCTCCAAGACCAACTTAAAAATCATCAAAGACTCCCCCCTGAGACCAATCTATACCTTCTACGGGTTTCATTTCTTACAATCAAGAACGCGGAGCAAATTCTACCATCAAGTCTCATCTATGACTCCTTCTCAAGCACCTCTGTCAATTTATAATTCCCTATTCACGACCAGTAACCTGAACCCAACTCAGACTTCCTCTCCAAGAGCCTCCAAGAGCAACCAATAGCCACTTTGGACTCCTTGCCCCCACAATGAGATTCACTCTAACCCAATTTTAGACCCCTACCCCCTTGTAAAACTTCCCCAGACATCCATCCCCATACTGCCACAAGACTCACCTGGAGGGGCTCAGAATGAGGGGAAGAGCCGAGGTGATTGGCGGCGAGGATCCTGACCAGGTACTGTGTGTCAGGCACCAAGGGCGCCAACCTAGCCGTCGTCATGTCCCCGCCCACACCCACCTCCTCCCCATCTGACCATGACGCTGGGGATGAGAGAAGGCAAGACGGAGAATTAGACAACGAATACAGTAATGGTGATGTTAGGTTTTGTAGTTATGTTAGATAAAAAGAGTTCTATAGCCGACTACATGTGCATCTACATACAAGGTGCTAGTCACAGGGGAGGGAGGGCAAATACAAAGTTTTAACTCTTTAAGTCCAAAGGGTTAAATAATCGTCCTTAAAGGATTAAACCATTATAGTCAAAGGGTTAAATTTTCATTGCCAAAGGGTTAAATCCTTTCAACCTCATTCTATGAGATCATATAGAGGCGTCAGGCAACAGGGTATACTCAAACACGCCCACCTCCTTCCCCTGAATATGATCCTGATCATCCACGTCAGGGGGAGAGAAAGAGGATAAAATCTAATCGCATTCACCCATAAGTCCTCAGCCAGTGCCTGCCATAATACTGGAAGATCTGGAGGGAAATGAAACTGAAGAGAGATAATTAAGAGTTATACATAAAACAAAAAGTGAAAGAAGTAATAAACTCATTACAATTGGACACCTAATTTGTGACTAATTATGTCTGTCATAGTTATGTACCTGTTTTCAACCTAGTATATTATTATGTTTATCTGGTAACACAACACAGCTCACACGAACACTGGAAAACTCTCTTGCTATATGTCGAGAAATATTCCCAGTTATACTACCAGTTATTTAATTAAAAGTACAATATTCCTAACAGTATCAAAATACAGATTTAATTTCTTTTTGCGTAATTTTAATTGAAACAGTATATGGCAGTAGATATACAGCACCACCGACACTGTATACCTGTACTACCCACACGTATATACTAACACTATATACCTGTATTACCATCACTGTCTACTACAACTGACACTATATACCTGTATTACCATCACTGTCTACTACAACTGACACTATATACCTGTATTACCATCACTGTCTACTACAACTAACACTATATACCTGTATTACCAACACTGTATACTACAACTGACACTATATACCTGTATTACCATCACTGTCTACTACAACTGACACTATATACCTGTATTACCAACACTGTATACTACAACTGACACTATATACCTGTATTACCAACACTGTCTACTACAACTGACACTATATACCTGTATTACCATCACTGTCTACTACAACTGAAACTATATACCTGTATTACCAACACTGTCTACTACAACTGACACTATATACCTGTATTACCAACACTGTCTACTACAACTGACACTATATACCTGTATTACCAACACTGTCTACTACAACTGACACTATATACCTGTATTACCACACTGTCTACTACAACTGACACTATATACCTGTATTACCAACACTGTCTACTACAACTGACACTATATACCTGTATTACCAACACTGTCTACTACAACTGACACTATATACCTGTGCTACCAACAACAACTGACACTATATACCTGTATTACCAACACTGTCTACTACAACTGACACTATATACCTGTATTACCAACACTGTCTACTACAACTGACACTATATACCTGTATTACCAACACTGTCTAGTACAACTGACACTATATACCTGTATTACCAACACTGTCTACTACAACTGACACTATATACCTGTATTACCAACACTGTCTACTACAACTGACACTATATACCTGTATTACCAACACTGTCTACTACAACTAACACTATATACCTGTATTACCATCACTGTCTACTACAACTGACACTATATACCTGTATTACCAACACTGTCTACTACAACTGACACTATATACCTGTATTACCAACACTGTCTACTACAACTGACACTATATACCTGTATTACCAACACTGTCTACTACAACTAACACTATATACCTGTATTACCAACACTGTCTAGTACAACTGACACTATATACCTGTATTACCAACACTGTCTACTACAACTAACACTATATACCTGTATTACCAACACTGTCTACTACAACTGACACTATATACCTGTATTACCAACACTGTCTACTACAACTGACACTATATACCTGTATTACCATCACTGTCTACTACAACTGACACTATATACCTGTATTACCAACACTGTCTACTACAACTGACACTATATACCTGTATTACCAACACTGTCTACTACAACTGACACTATATACCTGTATTACCAACACTGTATTACCATTACACTGTCTACTACAACTGACCTATATACCTGTATTACCAACACTGTCTTACCAACACTGTCTACTACAACTGACACTATATACCTGTATTACCAACACTGTCTACTACAACTGACACTATATACCTGTATTACCAACACTGTATACTACAACTGACACTATATACCTGTATTACCAACACTGTATACTACAACTGACACTATATACCTGTATTACCAACACTGTTTACTACAACTGACACTATATACCTGTATTACCAACACTGTCTACTACAACTGACACTATATACCTGTATTACCAACACTGTCTACTACAACTGACACTATATACCTGTATTGCCAACCAGGTCTATCATATCACACTAACCGACCCTCAATGTTTACTATCACCTTGCAAATATAATTTTTTCACCAACATAACTTTTATACATAATATTCTCATACATATATTATCAGGAAATACAATTCTATAACATACACTAAAAGCGCTACAGTCTTATACCAGTTATCAAGAGGTGTGTCATAATGCAGGGTTTTAGGATACATACTTTAGGAAATACAGTCAACAATGGGAGCATCTTCACTTGAACCTCTGAACACAAAGCCTCGAGATGGGATGAACATGATTGTACGTACCTCTGGTGGGTTTAAACTGGACGATGTACTTGTCGACGGGTGTATGGGTGGTGGTGGGTGGCAGCCAGGACACACTCAGATACCGTGACCCTCGCTCTGACACCCGTAACCCGTGGGGTGAGCCAGGCACGTCTGAGGAAGAGGTACAACTTAGTATACGCTAATATGTGGGTGGGGAGTCTGGGGGATGTTGGTGGGGAGTCTGGGGGATGTGGGTGGGGAGTCTGGGGGATAAGGGTGGGATTTCGGTTGACGTTAGGTGAAAGTGAGGCTGATGATGTGGGAGGGGGCGAGGTGGGTGGTGTGGGTGATTATTATAAGCTGATATGTGGATTAAGTTGTGTGGGTGGGAATGTGGGTGGGATTTTGGATGATGTGGGAAGGGGTGGGTGAGGTGGAATGATGATGTGTGAGTGTGAGATTATGTGGATGCACGTGTTAGGGGATGATCCTGTAGGGAAGGTTAAAGCGGGTGATGTGGAATGGGATGAGGGGAATTGTTTGAATGATGGAGTTTGAGGTGTGAATATGAGTGCTGTGAAATGAGTAGTGTGGATGATGGTGTGTATAAGATGAGTAGTGTGGATGATGAGGTACAAGATGGATGGATGATGGATTAGAAGTTAAAACAGACAAGACTATAAATATGGTCTCAATCTCATGATATCAATCCTTTTTTCTTGTCCACTGAATAATCGTGAGGTTCCTTATCATTAACTTTAACTTGTCATAAATCATTTGGAATCACTTATACCTATAGTACTACTGACCACCAACTACCAGACTTATAAGGCTCAATTGAAGAAAACTAACACTATGGGCCCTTTGACAATACTGTAATCTAGATATTAATTTCTAAATGAATGTCTTGAGATGATCTAACATACCATTCTTGTACATCATCACGACAGCCCTCGTATAGATTGATGAACACATGCTTGAAATTCTACGGTTTTATTTGATCTTGTTCATAATTCTGAAACATATAATGAGTTTTCTTCCCTTTTTACTGTGTTTTAAAGGTCATTCTCCCTTGACACCTACTATATTACAGGGACCACGTGGAATAAGGTGGGGGAGGGTAAACATATTGTCTTTGTTTGCAAGTAAAATACTGTATTGGTGAGTCTAGGTAATCATTATCTCTCATTATCTTTCCTGTATTTCTATATCAGTTTTCTCTCCCACCTACCTTGAACGACAAGCTTGACGAGGAAGGAGTCGGTGCCGTAGGTGTTGGAGGCGGTGCAGGTGAACTCTCCAGCGTCTTCCATCTTGACAGAGGGGATGACCAGCTCTCCTCTCACCCCTCCTGGCACCTCACGCACCACGCTGTGAGGAAGACAGTGGCTTGAAGAATCTTTACTAGCAACAATGAAGAGCTAACTAAATGCCAGATTCTGAACATGGTGATAAAATTAAGACACATGTTTATTATTGATTACTGTAGAGTAGCCAAGGGATCATCTTTGGTATTACTGAATTATGAAGGTGAAGAAATGTGCTCGATAGGTATGTATTTATATCTGGCAATACTACTATAAGAGGAGGAGGAGGAGATTTATTGTACTTATTATAGGGAGGAGGAGGGGATCGCTCTTGGTAATGCTGTGAACAGGTAGTGTGGTATCAGTAAAGCTACGAGGAATTACCGGCGATTATGAGGGACTACTGGCGATGTTGTGAGGGAGGAAACACAGGCCTATGTCGGTGTGGGTAATTCTACCAGGAGAGGAAGAAAAGTTCTGCTCTTAATCATTCCCTTGTCGGTGAAGGACTAAGGGTATAGTGGGTGACTCAGTAAACACACAAACATAACGCTGTGATGTGTGACCTCCAGGAAACTTAGTTAAAGTGATGTTTAAGTATAGAAGAAATAAGTAAAGATGAAGTTTAAGAACAATTAGGTTAAAGGTGAAAGTATATTTACCTTTAGTTGTGCAATTATGTCTTAGAAGTAATGAATATTATTACACCATTTTTTCTTGCAACAGAGGATGGTGGGCCGGGGAGGAGGAGCAAATGTTTATTGTTTTTAGTACTGCAGGTGGTAGTTTGGTGATGCTGCAGAGGGATGATGCCTCTCATCGTTCTTGGATAGGGACTAGTTTTTGTCACTGCTGGTGTGAGGAAGATGGTTGGGAAAGTGATATGGAAGAAGGAAATAGTTACAAATGCTGCCACAAGTATACATTGAGATAACAAAGTCGGCTTAACAGAACTGGTAAAGCATTACAAGTAAGAATTTATATTCATTTACAGTGCTACTGGTCACGACACCTGTTGGGCAAAGTAGTTATTACTTGACACAACAAACTTGAAGAGATTATCGGACTCTTGACGTCTTTTAAGGTGTGATCAGCAGTACAACTCGATATATGATGCTCTCTTGAAAATCACCAGTTCTACTGTATGTTGTCCTCCCCTGAGTCAATTAATACAAGGTTTCTCCATATGAAGGGTCGTGAGAAGGGTCGGGAGGTTTATGGTAGCCAAAATAGTCACCACCATCAAACGTGTGGATACTGAGGTGGTGTAGATGTGTGATTTTTCTCGTATGATAATTATGTGACGAGCCTTTCCAGCGCTGCTTTACAGTTGTATATTTCACCACATCTATCGGCGTATTTTCCTCCTGATTACTATGAGGGAAGTAAAAGTAACCACCAGCGGTTTAAGATCTTTGAGGTTTACACATAGACGGTTGAGAAAATGTTCCGGGTGTGTACTGTAGAATGTTTTAGAAATAAAAAACAATTTACTTAATTTTATATGTAGTGCATTATTTATAGCACTAATCATATAAATGTGTATACAAGGAAGAGCTTAAATAATTACTACTAAATCTTAAACAATGAAAAGTTTAAAGAACTTCTTCAACTCTTCAGCAAGTAAAACTGAATGAAGGATCTTTGGAGAAAATCTATGTCAGCACCGAATCCTTGTCTTCACCTTTTCCGACGTGTCTTACCTGTGGTCATGGGCGTGAGTGTGAGTGGCTTGCCAGATAAGCGTAATAGGTGGGTCACCGTGGGCGTGGCACAGAAGTGAGGCACGTGCACCTCGCCTCACTGACACCGTCTGCTGGAGGCCTGAGTCGAACCTGGGCGGTGCTGGGGGTAGGAAAGAGGTTGTTGTTGTGCTGTGAGTTTTGTCTATGATTACAGCTGATAACTATATCTATGTTTAATAGTAACAGACGAGTGTTCCATGTGGTCATTCACTAACACTAGTCTTTCTAATTTGCACTAACATGTTTTATATTTACTTACTGCCAACTGACAGCTTTACACATGATACAGTAGTTACATAGTTACAAATGACTCTGATAACTATACTAACATGTAATATTTACGATTTACATCAGAAATCTTTACATGTTGTTCCAGGCTCTTTATTTCGAATAGGAATATCAATACATACCAAATGCTACACATTACAATTCTTGACATAAAAATCGGGAAAAAGTATGAATATTTAATCAAGAAACAAAGCAACACGTCATTAATTCTGGTATATTAAGCTGAAGAGTATAGAAATTAATAGGCGTTTGATACTTCTTATGGAACTGTTTCTACTAGTTCCTCAAGTTAATTAAAAAATTCTGAGGTGTGTGGCATGTCAACCGCCTGGCCCTTGGGTATAGCTCCTCCTCGATGAGTAGACACGTCTCTTGTACAGTAATCCAGCTCGTAGATCGATCATGTAGCTGTAAGGGGTCTTTATGTCAGGTGAATCCTTCCAGTCATCCTACGAGTCTTAGAACACGGGGGGGGTTCGAGGTGCACATCCATAGAGAAACTTAAAACGATGAAAACTTGAGATGAGCCATTGCAGGAGGAGTGAAGTATGGCCACACACACAACAGCCATCCTTGTGAGTATCTTCTTCAGTGTATCATTAACTTGTCTAAACTCACGATCTATATAATGGAGTACACGTTAAAAAACAAAACAAAAACCATTGCAGTACGCCAAACATGATCAGTGTGTAAAGTATGGAAGACTTATAATGTAATCCCTGAGGTTTGAGAATAACACATATCATAGGATAGTTGTTAAGGATGACAGAAACATTAAAAAATAGGACTGAAAGTTAAGACAATAAGAGTCTTGTCATAAGAAAACAGAGATATTGTTGAGTAGAGATATACTGGGGACTGTCACTCTCTCAGTTGATTGAAAATGTCCAAAGGATGGCCACCAGACTGGTACCTGCATTTCGGCACCTCAGCTATCCAGAGAGATTAGAGCGCCTGGAACTGCCTAGCTTATTTACTACAGACGGACAAGGGGAGGTGGTAGTGGTGGTGGTGAAACAAGTACAGACATTGAAATAGAAAGCGTAAAAATTGCATAAATTGGGAGAAATCTTAATAATTTTCGTTGTGTTCATTGATGTCAGGAAATAACAGGATATGATGATGATGATGATGATGATGATGATGATGATGATGATGATGATGATGATGATGATAATAACGACGATGATAATACCCCGTGCAGACCACTACATGTGACAAAGGAGACCCATTAAAAGAAATATCTCAAATATAAAGACACCTAACATAACCTATTCAATCTTTCTCGCTCTCTTTTTTTTCTATTATTCAAACATATCCAAAACTCCTACTTGAAATCTGACTGAAGCTCATACTCGAAATCTGACTGACACTAATATCAGCAGATTTTAGAGTTGAAAATAAAAACCGAACAGGGACTTTGATTCCGCACACCGATGCCTAGATTATGAGGTGGGTTGATTGCAGGTAAAAGGGAATACTGACGGAAAAATGTGGTTTAATATTCACAAAGTTCTACGACTCCAATATCGTGTTCGGTTCACAGTCCTCAGTCGCTTTTTGGTGTGATTATTCCTGTGTATTTCTCGATGGTATTATTTCTATTGTTGACGGTGGATGAGTTGGTGTGTTGGGGCCGACTTGGTGTGTTGGGGCCGACTTGGCGTGTTGGGTTAGTGCTGAGTTGGCGTGGTAAAAGATCATAAAGTCGGACATAAAAAAAGGTTACTTTGACGAGTTGAAAATAAAGTGACTTACTTCAGCATGATACAGCAATATATATATATATATATATATATATATATATATATATATATATATATATATATATATATATATATATATATATATATATAATTTATTTATCACGTTATCACTCACCAGCTTACTAGTCGTGTGGGAGGTTAGTTTGTACTTTGTTATCTTTTTATGATCTTTATTGTCCAGTGTTAATACAGGAGAAAAGTAGAGTACCCGAAAAAAAAAACCACCTGTTACATTTGGTAGGGCCACACTGGATAACACTCTTCTCACATCTGTCCTGGCAGGGGATTGAACCCAGGACCTATACACTGGGAAGCACGAGTGTTAGTGTTGTACAGTAGCTAAAACAACTATCGGTGCATACTCTGTGGGAAACAATATGAGACCACGGACGATAAATATTGGTATATGAGGTCTGTCATTAGTCACAAGTAAAATTTCGGAGCACACCGACCCCCACCTGCACAGATAGTTGTTTTAGCTACTGTACATCCAAACTTCTTTAATCAACAGATAATAGTGTTTATTTCTGTGTTGGTGACTGACCCAGGCCATGTTCAAAGTAATTTTATTCCCAGCGAGGTTACCACTCCCTGTGTTGTCTTGACTGTCTGTGTGAAGCAATTGGTGAACGTCGGTGAACATTCTTAACACACGACTGACTCTTTTAACTTGTCTGTAAGGAAACTAACAATACCAATGAAATAAATAAACTCTTAAACCTTATTATTCACCTTAACCGTGACGTCAGGACTCAAGATGCCACCTAAATTACTACAGATTAATAAATACTTTTAAAATTATCGTTTATTAACCTATTATCCTTAACTAATCCATCTCTAACTTTGCCACGCTTAACTTACCCTTTACAGAATACACCAAGCACTCATTAACTTACAAATCACATTAACTCTCCTGGTTCATAATTATAGTTTTTCCATTAACTCACAACCATTAACTCTCCATTAAGTGATAAACAGCCCTTAATTTACTAGATATTCTGACAATCACCCCTTAACCTACCATACAATGACAATCACCCCTTAACCTACCATGGAATGACAACCACCCCTTAATTTACCACACTATGTACCATTAACTTTCCCATACCATTATAATGTCAACTAAATTTACCATTAACATTACCCAAAGCACTTACCATTAACTTATACCACCCAACACACTCAAAATCAGTAGCCAGTGCACTTACCATTAACTAATACTACCCAACGCACTCACCATTAGTACCCATTGCACTTACCATGATATTATACTACCCAACACACTTACCTTCACCAATACCATCCAACGCACTCGAAATCAGTACTCAACGCACTTAACTTTACTAATACTATCCAACGCACTTACAAGGTACTAATTACTATCCAACGCACTCACCATTAGTATCCAGCGAACTTACCTTTACTAATATACCACTCAACACACTTACCTTCACTAATACTACCCAACGCACTCACCATGATATTATACTACCCAACGCGCTTACCTTCACTAATACGATCCAACGCACTCACCGACCGCACTCACCTATTAACTTCAATTATACCATTAAACTTACCATTGACTGTAAGCTTGACAAGGGCAGAGAGGCCGCCGCCCACACCATTCGAGGCCTCACAGAGATACTGGCCCTCGTCCTCCGCCCGCGCGCCCACCACCACCAGGCTGCCGTTGGAGGCCACGCCCACACCTAAGCCCATCCCGCTACCCAAGATGGGGCTGTACTGGCCAGGCTGGTCCTCTGTAAGATGGTGGGCGTACAGTGTGTGTGTGTGTGGTACAATGACTGTTAGGTATAATAATAATAATAATAATAATAATAATAATAATAATAATAATAATAATAATAATAATAATAATACTGTCAAGATTAGATGGATTTCGTATCAGGAGTTTTAATTAATACTTCACTCTTTCCTATTTTTCCTGTTTTCCCGTAAGACTATTATTTACAATTTGCACTAATGATGAGGCTCAGTCATTAGTATTGTTGTCATATTCCCAGGTCTGTATTTTGTAGGATAATGTAAATTGTAAATACCTGAATATTTTGCTTCTTTAATGATAATATATTTGTTCTCGTTGACGTTATAATGCCATTAATACGGATCAATAACTAAGGTCTTTCAGCGTATAACACGAGATAAAACTTTTTCTCTCAACTGAACTTCTCCGATAATAGAACTTTTCCTCGTAGTTTGCTGTCATCCCCAGTTTGGCTCAAAAGTTCCGTTAACCGTACAATCCATGAAAAAAAGTTCGGATTACACGAATGATTTAAAAAAAACAAAGTCTGTCTACGGTTGAGAAATTCGGATGGCGAGAATGTTCTTACTTTTTTTTTTACTGTTGCTTCTCTCTAATTTCACACTATTACTTTTCCTTCTTCCGATTTCAGATATGCAAATGAGTCATATTGTGCACTGTAACATGTACTACATGTGTATTATATCAAAAATACTAAAGAAAATTGGAAAAGTTCGGGTTTAAGATAATTTAGTTCTGAGTACTAGTAAGAGGGATCGAAATTCACGTTAAACCGGCACATTAGTTCGTTCGTTGTGGGATAATGTTAAAAAAATAAAGAAGAATAAGTGTCAAGATGTTCATTTTTGTCCCAGCCTTAGTGTTACTATACAATATATAACTATGCTTTACAAGTGACGCTTCCATTGCTATTTTACACACACACACACTCTTCCCCCACCATAAGAGGTTATCCCCTGAGACACGCAGAGCCTTCTCTTTGAAGTAAAAGAGTTTAAAATATTTTTCCAAAGGAGAGCTGCCGGGAACACTGAGATCATCACGGACCACCACCAGAACCAAACAACAGCCACAGGTGAGGGAATTATATAATTTTTAAACACTTTCTAGATACCTGGAGTATTTTTATGTCTCTCAGTATTCTAAGGTCCTCAAGAAACACTGTTAAATATTGTGTAATGTTACAGTGTTGGTTGCTACGATGTTATCTTACGTGTTCCTGCGTAGACACGACTATGAAGTAAAGTGAGTTTTTTCTTTAGCATTTTGTAGACACATTACTAGTTTTTGCTTGAGAGGCCGAGAGATACCGATACATGAGTTAACACAGACACAAATAGATCGAGTGAGAAAGATACAAATAAGAAGTAGAAATAAAGAAAGCGAGAGAAAAAAACAGCACGAGAAGTATGTCATCAAGGCTCGACCCTAACTGATAAGGTGAAACATCCACCTTCAGGACAGCCAGCCTCACCCACCTCACACCACACATCCAAGTCATCCATACATGTCTTCACAAGAGGGAAAAAAATCACGTTGTAAGTATTCTGATAACAATATGTTAAAACTATATAAACAAAAATATTTACTCTGGGGCATAAACAAATAAAAGTGTATCACAAAAGTTTGATTTTAAAACATTGTGAAGCACTTAATTGAATGAAATTAAAATGACGTTTGGAATTACGCCTCTTTACATGTAAATTACATTATGCGTTATATAACTGTTACAAGAAGTTCATCAAATGAGTTCTGAAAATATTGGTAGGGTGGTAGGGAAGGGTGGCAGGGGAGGGTGGCAGCGAGGGTGGTAGGGAGGGTGGTAGGGAAGGGTGGCAGGGGAGGGTGGCAGGGAGTTTGGGGTGGGAGGGTGGTAGGGAATGTGGCCTGGGAGTGGTGGCAGGAGGGTGGCAGATAGGGTGGTAGGGAGGTGGCAGGGAAGGTGGTAGGGAAGGTGGGGAGAATGGGGGTGGAATGGGAGGGTGGCATGGGTAGGTTGGATGGGAGAGAGGGTGGCGTGGGGAGTGGCATGGGAGGGTGGCATGGGAGGGTGAAAGAGAGGGTGGCAGGGGGGTGGCGTGGAAGGATGCCAGGGAGAGTGGCAATGGAGGTGGTAGGGTAGGGGAGGGATGATATGGGAAATGAGGGGAAGCATGCAAGAGAATGAGGAGGAAAGAGGAAGCAGTATGCAGGAAGGAAGGAAGGAGGTGAAAAAAAGGAATAATAGCGATCAAAGAAAGAGATAGATTGAGAATTAAGGATAAAGGACTAAAACAGGAAAATGAAGAAGGGGAATAAATAACAAATAACACAAACAACAGCGATAACTAATGCATTAATTCTAGTTTCCCACAGGCCCTCGGTATTAACAACCATACCTGACGCGACACAACCACTCGCCACTATCACTCCACCTCCGCTCCTGAGACCTTACCGTGAAACCTACCCATTTATTTAAGCGGTGAAATAATAACCTGTCACATCTGTCACACACAAGGGAGAGGATTTTTTTTTTTCGGTTTTAAGATGACCTACGTAATTCATCTTTAAATACAATATCATATAAAAATAATCTCATAAAAGTGTAAAACTATTAAGGTATGATAATGATATTCTCAGTAATTTGTTCATCAATAGATTAAACATCAAAGGGAAGTAAATAAGACCCAAAAAAAAATCATGAAACGGAATAAAAATTTGAGGATAAAATTGTATGAAAATTTCCTCACTGACATGCATGAGGTGAGTGTGTGAGGGTTGAGGTGAGTGAGTGTGTGAGGGTTGAGGTGAGTGAGTGTGTGAGGGTCGAGGTGAGTGAGTGTGTGAGGGTTGAGGTGAGTGAGTGTGTGAGGGTCGAGGTAAGTGAGTGTGTGAGGGTTGAGGTGAGTGAGTGTGTGAGGGTTGAGAGTGTGGTGAGGTGAGTGTGAGGGTGTGAGTGAGTGGTGAGGGTTGAGGTGAGTGAGTGTGTTGGAGTGTGTGGAGGGTGAGGTGAGTGTGTGTGGAGGTTGAGGTGAGTGAGTGTGTGAGGGTGAGGCAGGAGGAGTGTGAGGGTTGAGGTGGAGTGGGAGTGGTGAGGGGTTGAGGTGAGTGAGTGTGTGGAGGGTTGAGGTGAGGTGAGTGTGTGAGGGTTGAGGTGAGTGAGTGTGTGAGGGTTGAGGTGAGTGAGTGTCTGAGGGTTGAAGTGAGTGAGTGTGTGCGGGTTGAGGTGAGTGAGTGTGTGAGGGTCGATAATGGCGAGATAAATTATTTACCCCTTGAGTACGATGACTAACCCTCGAGTACAATCACATCGTACTCAACAGAACAGGTCATCCTATTCCAAGAGTTAGGACACCGTACTCAAGGGATCAAGTCATCGTACTCAATGTGCCGTCCTTACTGCATGGACTAGTTCACTGGACTCTAAGTGTTAATAGTCTAGCACTTCACCATCATAAGCAGAAGACCTACACATCATCACCTTTGTTTTGTGTTTAATTACCGTAAGTCAGCGTTCACAATACCTTGATACCTGGAAAATCAATTGAAAAAGAAAAACACAGTAACGAACTAATGTGACATGACAGGTACCTCTACAGTGTCCGGTACCTCTACAGTGTCCGGTATCTCTACAGTGTCCGGTACCTCTACAGTGCCCGGTATCTCTACAGTGTCCGGTACCTCTACAGTGCCCGGTACCTCTACAGTGTCCGGTACCTCTACAGTGCCCGGTACCTCTACAGTGCCCGGTACCTCTACAGTGCCCGGTACCTCTACAGTGTCCGGTACCTCTACAGTGTCCGGGGAAAAGTGATTGAAAGGGTAAAAGTTTAATAGAGGTTGAATGTTTCAATACAATATGAGTGTGAGTGACGACACACACTTACTAAGCAATTGAACATGTCAGTTTACGTTGTGGCTGTGGGGTAGTGCGGCTGACAACTCTACTGATGGTGCATTAGTACTGTAGTCTGACCTGTGGGCAGAGTGGTGCAGTAGTCAGATTTTATTTTAGTATAAAACTGACGGGGAGAAAAAATGTTGTGTGTGTGTGTGCTCAATAAGTGTTCCGTGATCTGTTCTTGGTTGTGTTAAGACATATCTTTGCGTAGTGATCCTGACTGCTCTACTGACCAGCCTTTTAACGACATTTTCAACGAGTAATTCCCCCCCACATCCCCCAAGGCCTCCCACTCCCCGAGAGGGTTTTTGTATGACATTTGTTGACTACACTCACCAGCCGCGGCTTTACCTCCTGCCAACACAGATTTTCTTCTGGCATGGCGGAAAATGGTCTGGTGTGATAGCGTTAGGGGACTGAAATTAATGTGGCTGCAGTTTTAGCTCTGAGCTTTTTCTCAGCTAAGAAATATAAACACTATTATTTTAGGCATCTGAGACCATCTTTGGTCTGTAAATTTTGTGACATATTGTTTATATGAGTGGAGCTTTATTAGAAACTTGGGATTTCAATTATGGAATATGTCGTTACACCCACATGTGTACTGTTGTGTTTCACGTGTACTGTTGTGTTTCACGTGTACTGTTGTGTTTGTGTGCACCAGGTGTGTATGTCATGTGTAATGTCGTGAATGCACCAGGTGTGTATGTCATGTGTAATGTCGTGAATGCACCAGGTGTGTATGCCATGTGTATTGTTGTGTAATATGTTAAGACTCAGTAAGGTAAAGCTGTGTTGGTTTAATTTTACACACCTCACCTCACATAAACTACACCGCCTTAAATACACTTATCAACGTCTTGGTACCAAGACTGGGAGCGTCACAGTTGGCGGAAATAAAGTGACAGGTAATTCATATTTTTTTTATCTCCTTTAATACATCCTAATTCTGTCTGGTTGTCTGTTTTAATTTCTACGTCCCTAAGTTCATTAAGTTTACCAAGTTCACCTCCCTGTCCTCTTTATCTCCCCTTCCTTCTCTCCCTCCCTTTCCTCTCCTTCCTTCCCTTCCTAACTCCTTTACTTCCCTTCCCTCCTCCATCTTCTCCCGTTCCTCCCTCTTCTTTATCACCCTTTATCCCTCCCTTACCTCTGGTCTTCCTCCAGGAAACTTTCGGGGTAGGAAAGCCTTGGGCGTGGCAAGGGATGATGACGGTGCCTCCCAGGGTGACGGAGGTGTCCATGGGGGCTTCAATCCACGACGGAGGCACTGTAAGAGGAGTTGACCAAGAGTCATGAGAGGAACACTCGGTGGCTGAGGGATCCTGCCAAACATCCTGCCACGTTAATGTTATCCTATATGTCTCTCAAAGGATATCTCACACATAACTACTGAAGAAAAATATTAATGCACATGATCACAAGTTTCTATATTCTCTTATGTGTCAAAAAATTCAAAGAGGTAAAAAAAGGTATATTTCAATCTTGTATTTCAGAATATTGGTGTTATAAAATATTTCAGAGGTATGAAAAAATATTACAAGTTTATTCTCAATTTATGTTAAAAGTCTAAAATAAATGACTTGTGTACATAACATGGAATGGTATTAATTTAATGGCTATAAAAAAAATTATAGTCATAAATATCAAACTTTCTCTCTAATTTTTTTAAAACCAAGAAGACACTGAAGGAAACAGGTCTTTCCCTTCAACTGTGGGGAAAAATATTATTGATCACAAAAAGCAAAAAAAATAAAAAATAATTGTTTACAGAAGAGTGACATGTAGATAATGGTTAAGAGTGGACATGTGTGCCGACAGCTACTGGAAGACTAAGTTTCCTGCAGGCCACGTGACAGTGAATCACACCAACAAGTGTAATAAAGAGAAAACTAGAGAGTATGTAAGAGTTATATCTGGATAATCAAGCACCAAGAGTTATCCTAGTGGTTGGCACATCACAAGCTAACACTCTTTGGCTAAATGGAGTCAACAAGCTAACAATATGGAAGCTAAGGGCCGTACTCACACCAGACATGGCCCGGTAACACGTCTCACCAACACCCAGCCCAGCGGAGTGAGTTCTAGCGACAGGCATATCGTCTTCTCCCCTTATGGTGTGTGTTTGGCGCTACTGATCATTGGGTCATGTTTGTTGTAAATGCGGAGGTAAGTGTCCAGACAAGCTAACAGGTACAATTTATACGTATACCTAAGAATGTAATTATAAATTTAAGGTTAAAAAGATGCTCTACAACCAGGGTGTTTAGATGTTCAGGGTTGGCACGGAAAATGACACCTCTCCCCGGAGGCACTCTGGCCTTTCGTCAGTGACGTCAGAGGGGACACTGATCCGACTGAACTTATCATTCAGCCAATCAGTGGATGTCTCTAATATAGCAGATATTACAATTCAGCCAATCAACGGATGTCTCTGATCTGGCTGAACACATCATTCAGCTAATCAGCGTAATCCTTTGATCCGACTGAGTTTATCATCCAGACTATCGGGTGCCTCTAACCCGTGCTAATGAAAAAGGGAGGTGACTCGTAAGAGAGGAAATTTTCCGGCCTGACCCTAAGGATGATTTATCAAATGCTTGCACGCCAGGGCTTCCAGCGCTGCTCATCCTAGTTCCTCACTTTCCGCCTAACCTCCCCCCTCCCTCCCAATTTATCCTCCTCAATGTCCTGTCTACAGTTCCCCTCCTCCCTCCCCCCCCCACCCTATAATTACATGTGTCTGCTCCCGTTCACCGCAGACTGTGAACTCTTCCTATGACTGTGGAAGGTGATACTCTACTACCACTGACACTCCCACACCGCCCCCCCACCCATCACCACCACTCTCCTCCTCGTCTGAAAACTTATTCCACCTGCGTCCCTGATAAACACCGCCCCCCACACCCACCCTACGGTCTTAAGATGTTGTGTGTATATACCTTCAGGACCCCCACTCGCCCCAGACGTATACAACATGATGGTGTATCACAAAAACACCGTCCTTCCTCCTCATCCTTCCCTTTCTCCTTCTATTTTCCAGGCTCGACGGTGTCATCCTCCAACTCTCTCTCTTCAACAACTGTCTATCTAACACCGGCAGTCTCCGTCCCTGCAGGAGGGTTGTAGTGAAGCACTCTCTCACAGCTTCCCCTCGCTCACATAAATCTCTCGTTTGTTTCCCACAACTGTGACGTAGATGCTATACACGGCATCATCCTGTCATAGCTATAAATATAAGAGAGAGAGAGAGAGAGAGAGAGAGAGAGAGAGAGAGAGAGAGAGAGAGAGAGAGAGAGAGAGAGAGAGAGAGAATTAACTCGTTCCCTCAGGACATAAAAGAGAACGAATCACATTTCTATCCCAACTGGATTGCAAATGAAAATTGGTGGAGTAAAAGTGAAATAATATATTATTTCAAAGTGCGCACCGAGGAATTATATTTTCAGGCGTAAAAAGTTCCATGATAATAGATGGAGCACAAGCGTGTTGGCGGGAGAGGTGGGGGGCAGCGTGAGGCTGGTCACCAGCTGGCCTGGAGTCATCAATATATTAATATTGCTCGTGTCTGTCAAACAGCCACGAAAATATTCCATACCAAGTCTAAATTTAAATATTTTCTTCACGATTAATTCAACGCCGAGCTGTCTGATCCCGTCTAGTGAGAGTCGCCCCTTGTCGAGCGAGATGAATATTTGACCACCATAATGACAGCGTAATATAGTGTGAGGTCTAGGCGACTGATAAATAATGTAGCAGCGCTCAGCTCTAACACTCAGATGGTTTAATCTTCAGGCTCACTAATATCTCTCCCTTACGTCACGCCACGAATAACTGTCCCGAATGACGTGAGGGCATTTCGAGCTCCATTACGCTGTCTCTCTGCCAGTGTCAGGCAGTGCCGATGATGCAGTGAGACAGAGGTGGGCGATATCAGTGTCCCCAGAGGAAGGAGAACAGGTGAGGGAGGGAGTGGGAGGGGGAATACTGTCCCTCAGCTGGTCACAAGCGGGCACGATGTGATGGTGATACAAGAGAATGTCAAGTCGTTGTTCGTATTAGTGGTACAAGAGACAGGTGTAGTCCTTATGCGCCCGACACTACACACGGACTGTTGTGTACTGGCTTAGGGAATTTCTGTGAGATGGGACGGAGCGTAACACGGGATAATATACTGATACTAGTACGATGTCGACCCTGATCTTGAGACAGTGTCAACAAATTGCAACTTTCATGTTGATACGATTAGTGAGTTATCATTAACTAACCGTAGCAACTAACTTAAATATAAGTTGACTTGTTCACACGAGGGCAATACTGTACCGAGGCATCGGTGCAATACACCAAGCAATGAAACATGGAGAGCAACACCGCCACTAAATCCAGGGTGGTAGTGGGGGTATGGGGTCGTTTAGAAGGGGCGGGTAGCATCAGAGTTAGTGTACACTGCTCCATTCTCGTCTTGCTATGTTAATGACGCAGTTACTGTACAGAACCTTCATTAACGGGGAAACTAACGTCACTGTTGAATCTAAAGGATCCGTTTTAGAGTTTTGAGATCAACAGTGTCACCCTCCATCACCGGGTGAGTATGGTGGAAGGCTCAAAATGGCCACTTCTGTTCACTAGCCAAATTAAGAGTTAAAACGTGAATTTCCCCGCAATAAAGTAGTTTCAAGTTGTCCTTCGAGAATACACACGACAATGTTTTCGTCTTCCCTCAGCAAATTGGCAAAAATCTGACACACTCACAGTAAGACCCCAGGCCTCTTTCACCCCTTGAGTACGATGTCATCTAACTCAAGGAAGTGATCACCGTATTCAAAAGTTAGGGCATCTTACTCCAAGGATTAAGTCATCGTACTCAGGGGATCAAGATATCTTACATTACTGGACAAATTCAATGTACACACTGAGCTTGCGTTGTGCTCAAGGTGTTAAGTAACCCTGGACACGTTCCTCTCACTTCTTCTATACTGTATAACATTATTAAAACTATACTCTTCTCTTGTCCATCTACATCACTGACGCATAACTCTTAATATATATTCTATATAATTATACAGACACTTCTACAGTATTAAATTTTATTGCTGACTCTTTCCTTCTAGCTTCACTTGTGCTCGCCGATGCACGTGTGTATAACCCTGATACAAGTTACTATCTACCTGGGGGAAAAGTCCCCGTGTTCATCAGTACAGTAATAATACATAAAGCCTTCAACCTAAATAACTATTTAATTCGAAGAAAAATTCCCTCCCAACTGTTGATGTGTTAACCGGTAAGCTGTATAGTCCCCGCACCCTATTATGCTGTCTATCTGGCTGACTCCCTTGGTGATTGTGTTACGTTGGAAACCCTGCAACTCTACATTGAGGGGTGGGAGGCGGCGTAGGCTCAAGATTGGACTTACAATTCAAGCTACAAATATATATATATATATATATATATATATATATATATATATATATATATATATATATATATATATATATATATATATATATATATATATATATATATATATATATATATATATATACTTCTATGTCAGGCTCTGATGCGAAATGATCAAGAAACTTTTAATAATGGTAGAATGTAAGGGTAAAAATGTTTTTAAGAAAAATACATTCAAAACATGCGTAAAAAAACATGCAATAAAAAGTCTTGATAACGTGATAAAGTAGGGAAAACAAACTCAAATATTACCTGTCAAGGTGACGCCGCTTCGTCTCAAAAATCTGACTTTCAAAATTAGATTTTTTGTCACTTGTGGTTAAAAATAGAGGCTCACAGCCCTTCAAAAATTAAAATTAAGATGAAGATGACTCATGAATGAAAGTAAAAATACAAAAAAGTAACATACAATTCTAGAAGAAATGAATGAAAATTTTTAAAGAGTATTTGAAAGAACAATGTTGCCTGTCAGACAGAATGGCGGCGATCCCACTAGTGTATTGAAACCTATTGTAATGTAGGAAGGAGCTGCCTTTTGTTTCCATTCTGACCTGAGCTAACCTGTGCGTATATACTTACACATCTATATCTACCTGAAAATATGAATATTACACGTATATTAATAATACACCTTTTCCTAGCCATGACTTGAGCCCACACCACAGTCACTTGAAATTCCCAGATGACTCCTCTCTGCCACCAGCCTCTAAACACAGGTAGATAAACGAGACCACTGGGTGTCTCTCGCAGCCATCAAAGTTACGTTCAAGTCCTTACTCAAACATCTCTGTCTCGACGACGGAGTTAATAGACATGTGATCAAAGACTTGCACATAACCTTAACAGTCGAGACACTTAGTATGGTGGGTGAGGTGCCCAGAACATCATCCCACACAACACAGTTGGTCTAGTCTCTCTACCTGTGTTCAGAGGCTGGTGGCAGGGTGGAGTCATCTGGGAATGGTCACGAGTCTGTGGTGTGGCTCCAGTCCTGGCTGGTGAAAGTTACATAATAATATACATACATATATATATATATAATATGGGAGTGTGTATATATGGGTGGTAAATACGGCAGTATCGGTAGTATACTATTTAATACCTCCGCGCTTTCGTAATCTTCTCTTCTCTGTGTGTTTGGTTTCCAAATCTGACTGATTTTGAGGACAATATTTACAGGTATTATGGTATTAGTTAATGAATAAATAGCTGTATTTTAGTGGGTGCAGGAGCGGCTCCAGAAATAATTATTAGGGGGTGGGACGGCGAGGGTCTTTATCTCTTACCAACAGAGATAATTTTTAGGACGGCGTCGCTGTCTGAGTGTCCAGGTTTATGAGATGATGTTTACTAAACCATAAACCATGTCAGTGGACCAATGTTTGGAGATCATACTAACACGCTGTGACCCAAAATGTTAATCATATGACAACATTGGCAATATAATTTATACTCTTAGTTATTGAGAAGGAACAATGATATGTTATATTGAATGTATATATTCTCCAGACCCAAAAATCACCTGACACACAACACTGTCCAACTGGTGAGAGCGAGGTCAGCAGGGCCGGGTCCATGACCACCGGGAAATGTTTAAGCTTTACATTCCAAATTCTTGAATTTTTGACACCTGCTTTGTCTTGCTTTCGTATATCAATAAAGAAAATTAAAAATACAGTATATATATATATATATATATATATATATATATATATATATATATATATATATATATATATATATATATATATATATATATATATATATACTTGCTCGAAATGAAATAAGCGATATTACAATGTTTACTGACATTATATCTGGACAGTATATTTCACAAATGAAAAATGGCTTTATAGAATGAAACAGCAAGAATTAAATGATATTAAAACTATTTAACCGGACATGTGAACTATCATACTATGTCGTAAATAAAAAAAACTACACAGTGAGAGTGAGTTGGCTATTATACAACTGACAGCTTTCACCCCGCCACGCGCGGGAGGGAGGGAGAGGTAGCATGGGCACCACCATCCAACCCCCTCCCCTTAGCCATATTGCAGAACCGCCCCTGCTTAGATGTAGGTTTATAGTTAAGTGAGAAATAGTGTGGTGCGCCGCAGGATGCGCACTTCTCCAATACAAATAAAACTTGAGTCCTCGTCTGTTCGAGCGCGGAGGTTTTTCGTTTCTATCATTACTATTATATTAGTAATTAACCAATTAAAAATCACTGAAAATCTTCATAGGAACTTAAGTTTATAAACATCCGTAACTTTAATGTTCTGAACGATATACTTCATAAAGTTCCTTGGCAGATGAAGGATATACTTGGTGTTATCGTGTGGTCATATATGAACCAGTTACTAGTGTTGTTTAGCCGTGTGTTGGTGAACACCTACTGAAGGAGATCACTATCATGGAGTGTGTGTCAACTGAGTGAGTGTCAGGTCAACTCCTGGCGTGGCCTAACTGAGCCATATTAGTGTTAGTATTGGAGTGAGAGAGTTGGGTTTGGTGTTGTCTTGTACTTACCTTTGATGACGAGGGTTGCCGAGTGGGAGGCTGTACGGGCAGCGTTCGAGGCCTGGCAGGTGTAGTTGCCACTGTGGTGGGCGTGGGCGTGTGCCAAGAGGAGGGCGCTGGAGAACTGGTCCAGAGGACGCAGTGTGAGGCCCGTGGGTGGGTCCTGGGCCAATGGTACGCTGTCCTTCAGCCAGGTGAGAGTGAGGGGAGGGTCGCCGCGTCTCACAGTACAGATCACCTGCACACGCTCGCCCTCACTCGCCTCCCCGAAGCTAAAGGAAATGATGGTGGGGGGAACTACAGATGGCGAGGACCAGATCATCAGGGAGGGAACCACCGTCATCACAGCGGCCAAGGGAGAGAACGTGAGAGAAACGTAAGAGAACAAGACATGACCGTAAAATGAAAAAGTTACCATTGACGTTGAGTGGGGCGGTGTGGCGGACGGTGGCGGCGTCGTTGGTGGCGGTGCAAGTGTAGTTGCCGGAGTGGAGGGGCGTCAGGTGGTTGATGGTGAGTATGGTTGTGTACTGGTCCAGGGGCCGCACCTGTGTCCCCGTTATGCTCTCGGCTGGCACTCCATCCTTAGTCCAGGTGATCACCAGAGGTGTGTCCCCGCCGTTGACGGTACACTGGACAGAGACTCTCTCCCCCAAGGCCAGGTCGCGACGCAGGGTGAAGGAACTCAGCTTGGGCGGCACTGTGGCAATAATACTCTCACATGTGGGCTCTCACACCTACACTACCTCTCTTGTTTCTAAGACTCCCATACTCTCTCATAAACTCACTCTCTCTGTCATGTCCGGCTCCTGGATCTTGACCCTCATACTTTTTCTTTACATCAATTTTCTCTTCCCTCTCTTTGTTGACCTCATATAATGATAAGTCTTTAAACAAAGGCCTCTACAAGCCTAACAACTACTACCACTATCATAATGAAACACCAGCACCAGGGCCCATTCACTCCAAATCAAGCAAAGGCACTTCACTCCTCAAAGTAGGGACAAAATTTCAAATGAGTCAATTCAGAATCTTAAGTAACAGTAAAGTGTGATGGATGTACCGCTCTTGATAACTCTTTACTTTAGGCTTGGATCCCAATTTCACTGTTAATTTTATGACAAAACTTACAATATTCTGTACATGTACTGAGAAAGGTCAGATGGCAGAAACATAATAAGGCGGCTTTTTGAAATGCTTAAATGGTAAAACTTATTATTTTAAAGTCCTACAGTAGTGATACGCAGGCCATCACCTTCATGCACACCAATGAATAAGAACAAACCCCCACTCAACTGTGCTTGATTTCTGGAGTAACGGGCAACATGCTTAGTGACCCATTTCTGTTAAAAT